GAGGGCACCCCGCGCAGCCCCGGTTACCTAGCAGCAGGAAGGAGAAGACCCATTGCAACACGGCCGCCGTCTGCGCTCTCCGCGCCAGGGGAATGTGGAGCGGGGCGAATTCGACCTTCATGTCCCCGCTGTCCGTGGCGCAAGGTGGAGAACGCGCCGAAAGGGTCAGAGGCGAGCCGTCTCGCCTCGGCTCCTGCAACAAGGCGGGGTCCCAGCGCGGCGGCGCCTGCCAGCCCGTAATCCCACTCCGAGCGAGCCGAGCGCCTCCTTCCAAGTTTGGAGACCTCCGGTCCCGGAACAGCGGGTCAGTCGGGCCGCCCAGCGGTTCCCAGCTGCCTCGCCTACCACGCTCAGGCATCCCGTAGCGCCTGCCTCCCCACGAACTCCTGGAGGGCAACCTGACCTGCCGGCCGCCGTCGCCCTCTCCCGGCCGCCGGACAGCGAGGCTTCGGCGGGTTGTTTTCCTGCAAGGCGCAGAGGTGATCGCCGGAGCAGGAGCAGGGGCAGCGGCGTGGAAGCGGCGCGGTGCGCGTTGCCTTCGGAGCAGCGTGGGGTGTCCCTCCTGCGGCCGCTCGCGGGCAGCGGGTCGTGGCTCCAGAGCCGAGAGCGGCTCTGCGGAAGTGCCGGCCGCTGCACGGCGGGATAGGAGGAGGGGAGCGCATTTGGGCCCTGCGGAGGGGAGCAGGTTTTGTCCCGTGTGAACGAGAAACGCGGCACATTTCAGCTTATCCAAGCCCCGAAGCGTGGCACTGTTTTTCTGCGCTGTATTTTGTTTGCATACCTGTGATTTTGTATTGTTTTTTTCATTTTCTGATATAGTACTATAAAACTCCTAGATCATTTTATTTTACAAGGAGTTTAATTGCTTTACTAAAGACATATTAATATTCCCATTCTTCCCTGAATCTCTAAAGTAAATCCTATTGAGTGTGGGTGGTGGTAACACTGCTCACCATGTTTCCGGTTGTCACAGGCTTCTTTATCTCAAGGACCAGTTTATGATTCAGTTATTTCTAAGTGGCAAGAGGGACCTCTCCTTCATTTAACTGTGGGGGTCTAGCTATGGGGGTGTGGGGCTTGGCCCTTTCTTGCCCTGCATTTATAGGTTCCTGATCCTAAGCATGTTTGAGCACAATCCTATGCAAGCGAAGACCTGCAATGTCTAGCTTGCCCGCAGTTAAAAGTGCAAGAAATTACATGCCCGTGGCAGCATAAGACCTAACCAATTAGCCACCAAACAAAATAATTATACAAATAGCACATTCTGTGTTGTGCTAAAAGTCATAGGGCACAATCCTATTCACATTTGGACAGAACAAAACTAGCTGACATGCTGGAAGCTATAGGCTTTTTTTTTCTGACTAAAACATTTCACCTTAAAATACAAAAAAGGCCCCATTCATTTCAAATGGGCCATGCTGCCTTGTAATACGAATGGGCCTGAATTGTTCATTCAAAACTTAGTACCCCAAAATACTTAGCTGCAGAATAGGAATAGCTCATAACAATATATTGGGGGGTGGGTGATCCATTTTCCCTCAGCTATTGTGAGGACTGCAACTAACCACAGAGGAGAAATGGAAGCCTGAGCTGATTGATGGTCTCTGCCAACAAAAATTCGTGCATGTTGATCCTGTGATTTCAGCTACCCCAAGGTTCCCTTTGATTTGTTTGCAAGAGCTGGGCTGAAAGAAGGGGCCATTGGTAGAAGGGCTTAGAAATGTCCCAAGCACCTAAACAAACAAGGATCTATCCTCTCCTGACCAGTGGCGGCCTACTGCATTTCCTTTTGGGGAACACTTGTGAAGAAGAGGGTCTGCCAGTAGGAAAAATGCCCTCATTTCCATATTCCTCATTTCTAACAGCTACAAATTACTGGCACCTCCAGTGCAGGAGGGCAGAAATACTGACAAACTGAAAGCTAATGAATTGGCAGGCCTAGATGGTATCCATCCTAGTGTTCTTAAAAAGTTCAAATGTGAACAAGAATATGTAACATATCCCTAAGATCAGAGGACTGGAGAAAGACCACTGGTACAACCAATTTTTAAAAAAGAGTTGAGGAAACTGGATACCTGTTAACTTGATGTCTGTTTAGAGTAAACTGGTGGAAATCATTATTAAAGATGAAATGTATAAGCATATTGAGAGAAATGTCTTGCTGAAAAACAACATGGTTTTTGTAAAAGTAATTTCTATCTCACCAACTGTATAGAATTATTTCAGCAAACATGTGGATGGGGTTCAGTATACATTGTTTCATTGGGCACAATTCTATAGCAATACATGTATCACTCAGAGACTTACAGTCATCCTATGCAGGGTTGAAAGAGAGATGAAGGTAATCTTTGCCTCCCTGTACTTCTAGCCTGCATTTTTCATTAGATGGGCCTTTTTACCCATTTAGCTAAGACATTTTGGAGGGGGAGAGGAGGAGGCTGGAAAAGCTTCAGGACAGCTCACATGTTGGCCTCTGCAGTCTCTTCTTTCCCCTGCCCACTGAAACAACCCTTTTAACCTCCCTTTGAGGTTATTTTCTGACCTTAGAGAGTAGCTGGCATGGTTCTTTTCTTACCATCCGCAAGAACGTGGTGGTTTTGGAGCTTCATTCCAAAGCCAGAGGGCAGTCTCTGAACTAAGAGCTGTGAAACAGATATATGCTATGGTTCCTCAGATGCTTTTTAGAAGGAACCATAGAATTCTCTCTCTGATTTCTAAAGGGTGTTTGACCAAGTCCTTCATCAAAGACTCCAGAGCAAATTTAGCAGTCACAGAATAAAAGAAAAGGTCCTCTTATAGACCAGTAACTCATTAGAGAAGAGCACAAAGCAAATAAGTTGAAATAAATGGTAAATTCTTCTAATGGGGAAATGAAAATAGTAGGATCCCACAGGGATCTGTAGTGGGACCAAACGCATTCATTCATTCATTCATTCAAAGCTTTTATATCTCATCCAGCTACTGGCATCTCAGGACAGTTTTACAATAAAAGCAACACAAATAAATTGCAGCACAGCATCCAATACTTCAGTATAATGCAAACCCACATTAAAACCTATTAGAATCATAGAAGAGGCCATGAAGGTCATTGAGTCCTTGCTGTTGCAGGACACTATGTTACACCATCCCACTCAGATATTTTATGTTTAAACATAAATGTTAAAATAATGGGAAATAAAAAGGTTTTGCCTAGCACTGAAAAGAATAAAGTGTCAGTATCAGGCGAACCTCTCTGGGGAGTGTATTCCATAATCAGGGTACCACCGCAGAGAAGGTTCTTCTCTGGGTAGCCACCCTCCCAATCTCCTTCAAGGAGGGCTCCCAGAGAAGCACATCCACCTCAGATCTTAAGAGACGAGAAGGCACATAGGGAAGGTCTCAATGTATTCATGAATGACTTGGAATTAGGAGTGAGCAATGAGGAGGCAAGTTTTGTAGATGACACCAAATCATTTAGTGTGTAGTTAAAACAAAGAAAGATTGTGAGAAGCTCCAAAACAATCTCTCCAAATGGGTATCAGAACAGTAAATGTGATTCAATGTAATCAAGTCTAATGTGATGCATTTTTGAGCAATAAATCTCAACTTCATGTATAGCCTCATGCGATCTGAGCTAAAAGTGATTAACCAAGAAAAATATCTTGAGATTGTAGGGAACAGCTCAATGAAATGTTAATCCATTGTGAAAAAGGACACTATACCTAAAAAGTATATTGTGGTATGCAGAAAATGGGAACTAAAATGATCAAGGGGCTGGAGCAACTCCCTTATGATGACAAGCAATAACAGTGGGCAAGCTGGCTAAGAGCAGACACTGAACTGCTAGAATTATGACAAGATGGCAATTCTGTGCATTTGTAAGAAAGCCCTGTTGACTCCAGGGGAACCTCCTTTATTGGAAACTATGATGGACTCTTGTGTGAAGCTGGAATTCCCTGGTTAATTTTGATAGCATGACTATCTCATACTACTGGGAAGGAATCTAGTATGGAAGAAGGAACAGGTAACTAACATCAGCCTCGCAATTTTGATGCTATAATGAAGTAAGCAATTTTGATGCTATAATGAAGTAACGTGTTCACATCAGCAAAAAAGCAGAAGCAAAGGCAGAAGTTTATTCCCTTCCAAACTAAAGTTTAAATTAGTTACAAGTATTTAAGAAATGTTAGGGCTGCCTTACAAATGCTACCTGAAGCAGAAAAATATTTATTATTTACTTATTTATTTAAAGTTTTTATATGCTGTCCAATACCACAGTCTCTGGACAGCTTAGAAAAAAACAATAACATACCAACCAACAACACACTACATCTCACCATTAGTGTTAAATTCAAAGATAAAACCAATTAAATATTAAAATGCTGGGAAAATAAAAGGGGTTTCGCTTAACTCCAAAAAGAATAAAGTGACAGCGCCAGGTGAATCTCCCTGGGGAGCAAGTTCCAAAAGTAGCAATAAACTTTTCTGTGTTGTCTCCAGATATGGATGGGATGGAGTGAAAGAAAGTTAGGTAGATGAATCCAAGAAAGACTGGCTTGCAATAAGCTGCTGTATTATTATCTCTATACCGTGAGTGGCCTTGAAGATGAGTGACATACCCTATATACATTAAAAAAGCAATTTCATTCTTTTAGTGCTGATCTTTGTATAACCAAAACTACAGCATCTGCACCCAAGAGGGAGCTTTCGTGTATACACAAACACACACACACACACACACACACACACACATATCTATATCTGAACGGCGGGGAGGGGTATTAGGGAAAACCTAAATGTCAAAGGATTTAAAAACTGTGACCTTCACCTTTATTGGTAAAAAATAACATCTTAGATACACATTTGCGCTGCAATACTAACAATACTCACATTGTGTCAGGATGCAAATGGTAGAACAATCGCAGTCAGCAAGTTATAAAGACATTTTACATGAATTCAGTTTACTAACAGTGTCTGAAATCCTATATGCACTTCACAGCTGAAATCCTATACAAACTTACTAGGGAGCAAGTCCCATTGAAATATATAGGAGATTCCTTCGGAGTAGACGGGGATACGACCGTACTGTAAATCGCCTGTAATTATCCTGTAGCCAGGCTGAAAAATGGAAATATACAAGGAATATATTAAATCTAAATTACAGCAAAAGATCCTCTGGAAAGAGTACATCTCAGGCTACAGCAAAGAGACATCTAATACATTGACACCTCCATTGCCGCATCAAAGCTCTTCTAAGCCCAAATCCAGTGCCCAGCTGAATGTGAAAGGATCGGTCTCCACTGACTCGCATGGAGGCTGCTCTCTTCTTGCCAGCTCCTTGAAGGAGGTGCTAAATACGACCGGAAGGCAAGGGGAGGGCGATGCTATAACCTTTGCTTAGTCCATGGATAAGTCCACGGAACGAACCACCACCCTTTCTTCGGCTGATGTAACTTTCTGCGGTTGAGCTGTCTAAAAATGTGCCTGAGCAAATGTTTCTCAAATTTTCGGCAGGTTCAGCCTATTGTGCTATACAAAACGTGAATGCTCGCGTGTCTTCATAACTTAACAGGGTTTAAGTTCATGCGTGGGAGAATGAGCGAAGAGCGCATTGGATCGACAGAGTCGGATAAGGCAGCAGCTCGGACAGAAGACATTGACCGGCGAGGGCTGGCGCCGACCCGGCGAAGGGGCTTTCTTCGTTAAACGTGTCTGTGGCGCATGCGCCTTCGCAGTGTTCTGAGCGAGTAAGCGCTGTTCGGCGTGCGTTCGAATCATGCCGACTGTCAGTGTGAAGCGGGATTTGCTTTTCCAAGCGCTGGGAAGGAGTTACAGTAAGGGGCAGATGATCGAAGGGTCTGGCTAAGGGTGCTCGGGGTTGTAGCCAATATTAGTCCTATTTCAGTAGATCAATTTAAATGAATGACACTTAAGTTAGACTTACATCGGATGTAATGCTTGGATGCTTCTGACATGGGGGAGACGGGAGAAAAGGCAGCAGGACTGCCCAGAATATGCGTCTTCTCAGACCTAAGAGGTTAAGAGAGTGGCCACTTATAAAAAGGACAATAACAGATAATGATTTGCATCATATTTGCATGTATTCATATGTATCGTTGCGGATTACGAAATTACTATAAGTAGAAATGCAATGGCTGCCATCATAATGTGGAACACTGTGACAGGTGCCCTCTGTGCCTGTTTGTTTAGTCTGCTGTTCAGGTGCTAACTGGTGCTGGGCAAAGCTAGGATTTGGATGCAATAGTATTTTACAGTTTTATTAATTTTGTATTTATTGTAAACAAAAATAAGGAAGCTTTGGAGTTCTGATTCTTTGCACCCAGCATACTTGCCAATAGCTATCTTCCTACTTTTCTGTACCCAAAACTCTCATTGACTTTGTACTGAAGGAATATTACATTGTTGTTGAAAGCAGATTTTTGATAGTCTAGTTGGGGCACAGCTTGATCTTCCAAGAACATGTAGAAATATACAGTCTGAGGGTGAAGAGAAATTGGAAGCAATAGGGCGCAGAAAATGGATTAGATTAATATCATGAAGAAGATGAAAAAGATCAGAAGAGGAACTCAAATCAGATGGTTGGCTTGTAAAGTAAAATATAAGAAGGAAGAATTCCTGTTTTCAGTTATGAATTTGTAATCAATGTTGTACAATGACATTAGCAGTCTTGGTAATCTAAAGATTATCCCATTGCAAATAAATTCAAACATGAGCCAACATTGCGATGCAGCCGCCAAAAGGGCAAATGCTGTTTTGGGATGCATTAACAGAAGTATTACTTCCCAATCATGAGAATTAATAGTTCCTCTATACTCCTCACTAGTCAGACCTCACCTGGAATACTGTGACCAGTTCTGGGCACCAAGATTTAAGAAAGATACAGGTAAATTAGAAAGGGTCCAGCAGATGGCAACAAAAATGATCCAGGGTTTGGAAACACTGCCCTGTGAGGAGAGACTGAGGGAACTGGTCATGTTCAGCCTTGAGAAGAGAAGACTGAGGGGGGACATGATATCCCTCTATAAGTACCTCAAAGGCTGTCACAAAGAGGAAGGTCAAGATCTTTTCTTGCTAATGCCAGAATGTAGGACATAGAATAATCAAGTCAAGTTGCAGCAACCCAGATTCAGGCTGGACATCAGGAAAAGCTTCCTCATGGTCAGAGCAATACAGCAGTGGAACCAGCTGCCTAGAGAGGTGGTGGGCTCTCCCACACTGGAGACATTCAAAAAGAACCTGGACAGCCATCTGAGTGGGATGGTATAATGTAGTGTCCTGCAACAGCAGGGGCTTGGACTCAAGGGCCATCATGGCCCCTTCCAACTCTTCTATTCTATGATTCTATTATTCTGAGAGGAGTACTGTTCTGCTAAATGGATTACTTAGCAAAATTCAGTCTTTTTCTATCAATTTATATTCCACATGTTCATATTTATTTATTTCATTTCTATCTTGCCCAATAGCTGAAGCATCTTCAGAGATAATTCCTAATTAACTGCCAGTACAGAATCAGTTACTCTTTTCAAAACTACTGGATAATTTTGACTTATTGTAAATTTCAAGCATCCCAAAACTAATTAGAGGAATTTATTTTCAGCGGATGAAGAATTTGATGAACTTTGCTTTGAATTTGGTTTGGAACTTGACGAAATTGTAAGTATTAGTTACTGCCTTTTATACTTGCGGAAGTATTTAAGATCTAGCAAATGTGGTCTATAGCTGTTGTCCTACAAAGTTTTCTTCCTATGTCTTTAGAATCTAGTTCTGTAAATGCCTTATTCTAGCAGTGCTTTAGAGCAATTTATTCTAAATGTTCTTTCCCCAGTTCTTACAATCCTATGCTGCTTTTCAGGAACTGTCTGCCCTTGTTCCAAATGGTTCCCTAGATAGCTTCTTGTAGGAGAAATATTGTATTGTCATTGAAAGGGTCTTTCTTTTTCTACTCATCTAATTTGTATTTATTGATTTGGTTTGATTTCAATGTGAGGGATTATACCCTGCCTTTCTACCAAAAAATGGCACTCAAAGCAACCTACAAATCCTATTTAAAATAGATTGAAACAATCCCTCACATTGAAATAAAAAACAGTAAAAACATAGCACTTCAGGAATAGAAACAGCACCCAAGTCACATACTGACAAGCCAGAAGCCTTCTTAAATAAAGTGATATTTGTCTGTAGTCAGAGCAAGAGCAGAGAGGGAACAAACCTAGCCTTTCATGGGAAGGAGCATCACAGATAGGAAGTCACCAAAAGGGTCCCTTTTGCATTGCAACCAAATGTACATCTGATGGTGGCAGTCTCAAAAGAAGGACTTTTTCCAAAGATCTTAAGGACTCAGCAGAATTGCATGGCAGAGGGTGGTCTTCCTGGTAGCCTGTTCCCAAGCTGTATAGGGTTTTATAGGCCATAACCAGCACTTTGAATTCTTCCTAGAAACATTCTAGCAGCCAGTGAAACTGCTGTAACAAGGCAGATGTGTGCTTCCTGCAGCTGGCTTTGGACAACAGACTAGCCTCAGCATTCTGGACCAGCTCAAGTTTCTGAACTGTTTTCAAAGGCAGCCTCACATTGAGAAAATTATAGTAGTTCAAATGAGATGTAACATGTGACCATAGCCAGATAAAATGTCTCTAGCAATGGATACAAGTGGTGCTTCAGTCTTGGCTGTCCAAGTATATGCTCAGTTAACTGCTAAGACCTGGAAATCCAAGTTCAGCACCAAGTTCAAGAGTGAACCCAAACCTCAAGGGAACTGTGTCCTCATCTCTTTTTTGGATTGCTTTTTTACTGACCAGGAACATCTCTGTGTTCCTTCTTTGTGACAGCCATTCAAGGACTCAGTGCTATCATATCTCCCCTCTGTCTTCTTTTCTTAAGGCTAAACATGCCCAGCTTTTTCAGTCTCTTCTAGGGCTTTATTTCCATTCCCAGAGCATTTTATTGCCCTCTTCTGCACCTTTTCCAGATTGCTTGCATCTTTCTGAAGCTGAGGTGCCCAGAACTGGATGTGGTAGTCAAGATGAGGGCTAAACAATATTGAGTAGAAAGGAACTAGTATTTCATGTGATTTGGACATTTGTTAACATATCCCAAATAGCATTTGCCCTTTTTTGCAGCCACATCACATTGATGATTCATATTTGACTTGTGATCTACAATTCTAAGATCCTTCTTGCCTATAGTATTGTTGAGCCAAGTATTCACCATCTTATACCTATGAATTTGGTTTCTTTTTCCTTGGTGCAGAATTGACATTTTTCCATATTAAATTTCTTTCTTTTGTTTTCAGCTCAGTATTCCAATCTATTCAGATCACCACCCTGAGGCATTGTAAAGGGTGAGATATAAAAGCTTTAACTAGATAAATACCGTATTTTTTGCTCTATAAGACGCGCCTGACCATAAGACGCACCTAGTTTTTAGAGGAGGAAAACAAGAAAAAAAATATTCTGAATCAAATGGGCACATGATCACAGGCACATTCCCCATCACTTCCCCATGGGCTGCACATCTGACAGACTTACTGCACATACATATTCACTCTATAAGACGCACAGACATTTCCCCTTGCTTTTGAGGGGGGAAAAAGTGCGTCTTATAGAGCAAAAAATACGGTAAATAAAATTTGAATTTTGTTTCTGTCTTCCAGGGTATTAGCTATTCCACCCAGTTTTGTGTCATCTGCAAATCTGATAATTATTCCCTGCACTTCCTCATCCAAACCATTGAAAAAAATACTGAAGAGCAATGTACCTGGGATACTTATTACTTGTCCCTAGTGTAAGAAGGTGCCATTGATGAACATTCACTGAGTCTGATTTTGTAGACAACAATGGATCCACCGGATAGTTGTCCCATTGAGCCTACTTTTAGCTATTTTGTTAATCAGAGCATTATGGGACACTTTCTCAAAAACTTTGCTGAAGTCAAGATATATTATGTTGGCAGCATTCCTGCAGTCCACCAAGAAAGCTACCTGATCAAAAATCAGGATCAGATTATTCTGGCAGGATTTGTTCTTGAAAAATTCATGTTGGCTTCTAGTAATCACTACATTGTTTTCAAGGTGTTTGCAGACTGACTACTTTATCATCTGCTCCAGAATTTTCCCAGGGATTGATATCAGACTGACTGGTCTATAGTTACCTCTCTTTCCATTTTTTAAGATGGGAACAACATTAGCCCTTCTCCAGTCATCTGGTGCTTCTCCTATCCTCCATGATTTTTAAAGATAATAGACAGTGGTTCTGAGAATTATTTTTTCAGTTTCTTTATTGTTTTAGGATGCAGTACACCAGGCCCTCATTCAAAGTAATGAGTAGTTCCTTCACCAGTTGCTATCAGTCTCAAGCTGCGACCTTGACCCTTCAGCTAGTCATAGACCCTCTTTAGGGGAAAAACTGAGACAGAGTAGGGAGTGAGCACTTCCCCTTTCTTTGTCAGCTGTTATCTTTTTGTCATCCAGATTCACATTAGTTGTGGATGTTGACCTTTTCTTTCTTCTGACTTACTGTGAATGTATCTGAAGAAGATAACTTCAGTTCATTCTCAGCTTTAGCCTTCATGATGCCATTTCTGCAATTTCTTGCTAGCTGCCTGCACTCTTCCTTTGTAGCCTAGCCTTCCTTCCAACTTTGTGTATGTGTCCTTTTTTGTGTTCAGGTCATCTCAAAGCTTTCCTTGAAGCCACATTGTTTTCTTCTTTTGTTTTCAGCCTTCTTCTTGTTGGAAATGTTTGTAATTGTGCTTTTAGAATTTTATTTTCCAGAAATTCCATCCATCTTGGACTCCTTTTCTCATTAGAGTTGCTTGCCATGAATCATTGTTCTGAATGTATTAAAATTGGCTTTCCTACAACCTAGGGTACATGTTTGATTACCCCCAGCTTTAGCTTCTTTTAAAATCAAGAATTCAGGTCACTTTGCCCCAGAGTTCTTATAACTGCCACTTGATCAATTGTATCATCCCTGTAAGTTAGAATCAAGTCAAGGACAGCCAATGGGCTAGTTCCTTCCTCCACTTGCTGTAGGAGAAAGTTATCAATGACACAAGTGAGGCATTTCTTGGAAGGATGTGTTTGGCAGCATTTGTCTTCTGACAGATACTGGGGAAATAAAACACTCCCCACCATTACTTCTGCATCATACTTCCTTGACACAATGAGAATTTACTTTTAAAATTTTTTCTTCCTCATGCTTGGTAGTAGATTCCGACCACCATGTTCCCTTTATTCTTTGCTCCATTAATTTTAATCCAGATACTCTTGTGGACCTACTAACCTCATTCTTCTGTATTTCTGTGCAGAGATACATATCCTTCAATGAACTGAATATAGTTTCTATGTATAACTTTATTTCTTTTAATATTCATTTATCGGTCAGTTAACATTGTATAAATTGTTGTTCACTACCCGATAGAGCTTTGGCTATTAGGTGGTGTAGAAGTATAATTAATTTGCATTTTAGAAGTTTTCTGTATCCAGCAAAAATAAAATGATTACTTGTTACCTTGGGTTATCAGGAAGTAATGTACATAGCAACATCCCTATCATATCTCCCAAATATCACAGTAATGTTAGAGGTTGTATCCAATGTTAGTCCTACTTAGAATAGACTCACTGAAATAAATTACCCTGTTATACTAACATGGGATATAACTTTGTACCTGAATATTAATTATGTTGCTGATAATGGAAGTTTTTCTAGATTGTGATGTTTTAAACCTCTAGAAAATTGGGTTTCAGCTAGTCCAACTGCCTTATAGCTCTGATTTTGCACCTTACTTGTTATGTAGCTAATCGGACCGATATGCAAACTCAGGATTGTGTTGATGAATATTTTGTTTTTACTTTTTAATTGGGGTATTTGATTTGTGACTGTTCTATAACAAGTAAGTTCTAAGCTTCACTAGAAAGTAATTATATTTGTGGTGTTCTAATGTATAATAGGACACAGCTACTTAGGAATATACTGCTATTGGGGCAGCAAACTAGGGTAAGAACTTGCCTCAGGAGGGAAGGTTTGGGTTGGTATTAAAAGTTGCGAGCTAACAGTTTATTAGATACTTACTATCTTTGGGGATGGTAAGCACAGTTTGGATTTTTTTTTTTTTTTGCCTCAGGTGAAATCCTGCATATGCTTATGTCAGAGTAAATCCCAGTGAGTTACCCTAGTAAGGATTGTAGTATCCAACATAAAAATGGTTCCACTATTTGATGGATATATTCTGTTAAGCATCTTGTACCTCTCCATTTTGACTTGATCAAAATGCACAATTTTTGATATGCCATTCTGTATGTAAAGCATATTGTTTAATTTCAGACTTCGGAGAAGGACATCATAAGCAAAGAGAAGGGTGATGGGAAAGCAGAGGGTGCCTCAGACGTTGTTCTGTATAAAATTGATGTTCCTGCTAATCGGTATGATCTTCTTTGCTTAGAAGGTCTTGTCAGAGGTCTTCAGGTCTTTAAAGAGAGGTAATGTGCAATTTAGAAATGCTACATGTAGATACTTGCTAACCTGTATTAGCCAGAGATGAAATAAGCAGCCAGGTGAAACAATGTAACTTGTTTAGCTGCAAACAGCATTTGTGTAACTTGAGAACGGATGAACTGCCTTAAGTAAGCAAAGCTTGCAATATGCTTGGAAGCAATTGAATGATTATACACATATTTTTGATGTAAAAGTAACACTGTATTCTTGCCTTTCCTAATTTCAACAAGGTTAGTAATTATTAGATTATTAAAAACTCAGATGATTTGCTTTACTTTCAGTTTATGTAAGTGCTTTTTGCATTCATTGGCTGTTTGTTTATTTTTTAAGTAGCAACTTATAGCTCAGCAATGTTTGTCTGTCTATTTGTTTAAGACCCAGAAATGTATCCAATCTTGTGCATTCTTTCTTTGAATTCAGTTCCATTGTATTTAAGACCATCTTAAGTAAATGTGCATAGGATTGCAACCTTATTCACAAATGTCCTTTAATAACATTTTTATTGTTATTTATCATGTTTATGTCCCACCTGTTTCTCCTTGCAAGGACTCAAAGACAGCATAATCATCCTCTCCATTTTGGAGTGATCCAAATGATCTTTACAAGATAGGGACTCCCCACTTCTAGTAGGTTGTACTGCCATCTCTCCTTCTTTGCCAAACAGGCATTTGGTGTGGTCACTTTTCATATAAGAGAAGGAGGAGGGGCTTTATTCACAATCTTCACCCTTTCCATAGCACCCCAAACAATCAGTCTGGTGTACTTAATATGTTGGAACAAACCATCTTTCTGAAAAATCCATGTTATGGTCAGTCAGTGGAACTTGATAGACAGTCCTGGGTGCTTGTTGTTGTTTAATTATTCTGTAAAGCAAACTTTTATAAGTGAGAAAATGGAATGCAGTTTTTCTTTGGGGTGGGAGTCGTCACAATTTGTACACTGCTGGAGCACACTGATATATTTTACTTTCAGTAAATACAACTAAAAGTGCAGGTGTTTCCAGTAGATTTTTGAGGCTTAAAAAAGTGAAATTATCATTAAATACTTGGTGTAATTTAAGATATTGAAGGAACTGTCTGGCCTTATCCTGTACACGTGAGTGTGAGGCTGATGGAAAAGTGACAGAATGCTGTACATATTGATTAGAGAAAAGGAGGATTCAAGTAGGAACGGTCCAATCCCCTGCACTTGTGTGGATGTAAAATGCCCTTTAATGTTACAGTTGTACTCTCAATATTTTAGAATAAGAGCCCCACGATACAAAAAGATCACGCCATCCAGTGGTGAAATACAACGGCTTACCATCACAGAAGAGGTAAATAAAACTGAACTATATCTCAGATTGTGTGTAGATTAACAATAAATTTTCATAATTATTCTTAAACTTACTTTTGTTAGAGGTCGGGTGAGGACTGACAAGCAGTGCTTGTTCATTGTGATTTCATTAGTACTAGTGGTAGTTTTTTCTGTGAATGTTAATATATTTTTGCAGATCTGGTGGTTGGATGTTTTGGGTGGGTGATTGAGAGAGTTTAACTTCAAATCACATCAGAGTTCAGTAGACAATTACAAGCAACCTGTGGGTGAAAGTGATCACTGGCAATTGTCCCTGGCCTTTCACCTGTGAAACCAAAGAGACATTGTTTGCTTGAAAGCAAAACATAGTGCTAAATATAGCATTAGTGCTTCTAAAGTTTTTGGTCATGCCATATATTTTCATAACTACACTTGATTTCTTATACTACCAAAATCCCTTAAAAATCATTATTATACAGTCTATAATTGTACCCTTTTATATTGCAGACAGCCCATGTCCGTCCTTATGCTGTGGCTGCAGTTCTTCGTAACATAGCTTTTGTGAAGGACCGCTATGATAGTTTCATTGACCTACAAGAAAAACTACATCAGAATATATGCAGGTTAGTTGGATAGAATACATTTAATGATGAAATTCCGAGCTATGTTTTGTAACCGTAGTGATTTTGCATATTGAAAGAGGCAGTCTTATACGCGATAAGGAAAATGTTCTTAAAGCAGTATTTTGAGATGTGTGTTTTTCGTGGAAAGGAAAAAAAATTAGTATCGCTATAACTGAGGAAACTGCTTGGATAAAAAACCTTTGAGAACAGTCATGCTTGATATGCACTTTAGCACGTGATGTTGGAATCTCTGTTTGGAGACTAAATTAAGTGTCTTAGGGTACACACTTATCAATTTTGCCCTTAATGCTTGGTGGTTTAAGAGCGCCCAGTGCAGAGTGGGAGGAGCACCTTGTACTCTGCATTTCAGTTAGAAGACCATTTTTGATCATTGAGCTGAGGAGGGAAGGTGGTTAGAGTACAATCAGGATAACTTATTTTCTGGCAGCTCCACTATCGCGCCCTCCCCCCCACACACACACGTTACCTTTATTCCATTCTCCAGAGTCAGTTTCCCAACCTTACACTAAGCTGGCAGTGATGTTTCCATGCTGGAACAGGGGAGTCCAGAAGGGGAGGGATTGGAGCACAGATCCTCAGCTGTGCAATCAGAACTCTGTTACTGACCTTAGATTTGGGAATCTGTAATATCTGTGACCTCCTTGATGCTATTGGGAGGCCATAGAATATTTCCTTAGAGAAGAATCCTGTGCAAGTTTAGAAAGAAAAAGGCTTACATCTTCCAGCATGTCTCTACTAGCCGTGCTGGCCATAAGCATTCTTTCTACCTAGACTTGAATAGGATTTCACCTTTAATATTCTTGTAAAATTCTATACCTTCATTTTTCATCATTATATTATTTAATGGGAATTTCAGGTGTAGCTTGAGTCTTCATTATTTCTCTTGTTTTTGTTTTAGGAAAAGATCATTAGTTGCAATTGGTACCCATGATCTAGATACAATCTCTGGCCCATTTACATATACAGCTAAGCCACCATCTGAAATTAAATTCAAGCCCTTGAATCAGGACAAGGAGTATAATGCTAATGAAATCATGGATTTGTACAAGGTAGGTACCTTCACACTATTTAAGAGGTGTTTCTGGAAGAAAGTTCCAAGTGTTAGAAGAGATATGCTGCTCACAATCTAAATAATCATATAGTATTTTTTCTGCTTTTGACTGAACCTTCTAAACTCTGACCGTGGGCATGATGGCTGGACTGAAGGGAGTGTAATTCTAAGGGATCAGGTTGGAGATGGCTGTGCCTGAACATCTCTAAAATAGCTATCTGGGTTGTGACATTTTGTACCAGGTGTGGCTCCAGAGGGAGTTAATTTTGTGATGAGAACAATACGGTTCTAAGAAAAATTACATTGTTGCAATATACACAACCAACTCAATTCAAACACTACATGACATTCCTTTCTCATTTCCAAGCGCAGGAGAGCAAAATATGTTTTAGAGCTGCTTTTCTGTTCTTTTGACTCTTGACTTTATAGCTTCTCTCCTATGTCCATAGTGCTGCACTCTGCAGGAGGAAGGGTGGCCAAACATATTATTTGTTCATTCAGACTCCCAAATTATAGATAAGACAATTACTTGCTATGACTCTAAACCCTTCTGCTTCAGCATGCACACTCTTAGACATATAGCTTGTTTTACACCAAGTAGCAGTGTCAGTATCACCATGAGATAGAAACATAGAAACAGAGTGAGTCAGAAGGGGTCTCCTGGGCCATCTAGTCTGATCCCCAGCTCCAGCCAGCTCCACTCATGACATGCCAGTTTAGTCCTCTTTCTGATCAAGGCTCCTACTTGTGTCATTTATAGACTCCTGTTAGAAGATCATGAGAACAGGGACATACAAGGAATAAAGCTAATCTGTTGGGTGAATTGGACACTGTTTTCCAAGTGTGTGTATATATGTGTTTTTTTCCTTAGTAAAGCTCTTTAATATATAACATATTTCTGTGGGAAAGGTTGAAATTTATTGCTAGAAGCATTAGCATTGTCTTTTAGTTTAAATAAGATCATGATGCTGTAACTATGAAGTGATAACTTGGTATAGCTTCTCAGGCAAGAAATGTAAACATTAGTATGTGTTTGTTTTAGACAGATAGTCATCTTAAGCATTATCTTCATATTATTGAAAATGAACCACTTTATCCAGTCATCTATGACAGCAATGGTGTTGTTCTTTCCATGCCACCAATAATCAATGGTAAGATTGTTCTTTACTGCTTTTGTGTTAATTTCCTGTGGCTTAAGAATGATGGTTTTGCCCCAGATGTTTTCTGGTGAAGTTCAATGCTAATGCTTGTACCAACAGAGCATTCTTTATTTAAACTTATCTTGAACCTAGTGACCTTTTCTGTCTCTGGGGAAACCTTCAGACATTTTGAAAAGTGTTCTCAAGGTTTGTTTGTCATGAATCTGCAACAAAAAAGAAACATAATTTATTTTTTAAACAAAAATATTTTTGAATAAATTACAACTTATATAATGAAGAGTAGTTCAGAAATGCATGAATTGCAAGGCACACCGGGCTTGACTTCCAAGTGTACGCTAATTTGTAAATCTGTTCGTTGCTCCATAATTGTATTAATACAGTAACACAATAATATGTATTATTATTGTATCATTGTATTTTATACTAACTGTATTAATGTGATTTTATAATGTTTTATGTTTTATATTAATTATATTATATTACATTATATTAATTATTGTATTTATTTATTCATTAATTATTTAATAAATAAATAAATAAATAAAGAAAGAAAGAAAGAAAGAAAGAAAGAAAAAGAAAGTGTGAAGCAGCTCCAGGACTACATATTTGTATGAGCCCATCCTTAAAATGGTATTGAAAAGCTTAGGAATTGCACTTCAAAAACCATGGGCATAGGTGGCAGTTAATATTTCAGTTTGTTACAGATACTACTTTAACTCCAAATAAGTTAATTCCAAATAGTTTTATCTTGTGCCATTTTAGTACTGAACAGTGTTCTCAAACTGAGTAATTCGCCTCCATTCATTCAGTGTTTTTGTTTTGCTGTGGAATGGAGTTTTACATGCAATCCATTTAGGCAGTGTTGTGTCTGCATGTGAGACTTTCTAATTGTGGAAATGGTGGAGGGGTGAAAGGGAACCAATTCTCTCTCATATTAGAGGGTCACATGAGCTTGATGCTGTAATTTTAAAGATGGCTTATGGAAGTAAGGCCTGTTGGCTTCAGTGGCTTCAGTGGAATTGGCTTGTGCATAATGTACTGAGATGAATTTCAGATGCACCAAGCAATTGACCCTTAAGCAGGAGAACCCACCCTGAAGGTGGGGTTTGCTCTTTTTAGTTTTGGAACAGAGGAGGGGTATTCAATTTGGAATCAGCTTACTTCTTTAGTTGTTCTTGTTTTTAGTATGTATACTCCACTGTGTCTGTGCTTGCAAAGAATCTACAGTACTTAACAAAGTTCTCCTTGACTTCTGCAGTTCCCTTCTTGGTCATTTTTAAAGACTTTGACCTGGTCTGCTTGGAAAGTGGGGGAGAAGAATAGCCAGAAGAACTTGCATTAATGATTTTGAATTTTGCTGGCTGTTCTTCTCCCTTGACTCCCTTCACAAACCTATACATATATATATATATATAAATAAAGAGAGAGAGAGAGAGAGAGAGAGCGCGCGAGAGAGAGAGAGAGAGCGAGCGAGCTTTGTTTGTATAGCTGTGCTTTCATAGTGTGTTCCAGACAGCAGCTGAGTACACTGTCCAGGAAGTGAGTGCTGTGCTGTTTTTGGAACTGAATTAAAGTTTATCATACATCTCTTGTACAGGATGAGCAGTGATGGCAGAGGGAAGCAAGGAAACTTGCTGGACACCTCCAGATCCTTTTGCATGCCTAAAAGGCTTCTCTCCACCTATGCAAATTGGTTAAATTGTGTCATCTGACCTGCTAGCAACTCAGCTTAGGTGCTGTTGAATTAATAGAAGTGTCTAAAAGCTTGTTTGTATTTTAAATAAGAGGTCAACCCTTGCAACATCCAACAACTTCAAATGTCTGCACCTGTATTTTCCAGGGGACCATTCAAAAATAAGTCTGAACACCAAAAATGTGCTCATCGAATGTACAGCCACAGATCTTACCAAGGTAAATAATCTTGATCAAGGAGCAGAATATAGAGCAATAGTATATTTCTGATTTGTGAAGCAAAATGGAAAGGATGCATTTTTAAAGCTAATCACAACACTTTGTATAAAACCTCCAAAACTGTATCTTCAGCTAAATGCCAAGAGTTCAAGTATTTTATAAAGGGTGCCTGTTTCCAAAGCCAATGGATAATTGCTGGGCTGCAGTGTTGAATTAACATTTGTCCCTCTGGAAACTGAAGTTTAGATCAATGATCCATATGTTACCATGCCAGTTCAAAACTCTGATTTTCTGGCAGCCTCTTAGGCATCCACTCATCTCATCTTGTGGATGAACATCAGTTGGTTTTAGACTGTGACTCCCCACACACCTCTGCCTAGGAAAGCTGTTGTTTCTGAAAGCTATTTTTTAAAGTTACAGATTGTGAATTAATATTGTAACCTTGTATTTAAAATATGATGCATAACTGAAGCTAAAAAGTTGGTATATTGTCTGTCTTTAAGGCAAAAATTGTCCTTGATATCCTCGTCACAATGTTCAGTGAATACTGTCAGAAGCCATTCACGTGAGTTAATATGAATTCTTTCTACTGTAAATATATTCATGTTCCCCATATCCTGTACCTTAAACATGTTTGCTTGTTTTTTCCCCTTTAGTGTTGAAGCAGCAGAAGTAACTTATCCCAATGGAAAAAGCTACATCTGTCCAGTAAGCATTATAGAAGTGATTAAAATGTTGCTAATTAAAGGTGTTTTAAGAAAAGCACACACAAGGTTCTTGAACACTGTTGAAAGGTCCCATATTTTAAAAGCCAGTGTGGTATGGTAGTAGGACTGGGGACACCTGGGTTCTAGTCCCTGCTTGGCCATGAAGCTCACTTGGGTGAATTTGGGCCAGTTCCAAACTCTCAGCCCAACCTTCCTCACAGAGTTGCTCTGAGGATAAAATAGAGCTATGTAAGCTGCCTTGGCTATGCAGCTATGTAAGAAAAAAAGCAATATAAATGCAATGTGATGGTGATGACAGGAGCCATAAGCTAACATATGCTCTTTTTCTTCCTGGCTTGCAGGTAGGTCCCACTTCTGATTTGTTTTCTTACATAACGTCTTTTTATAGTTTAAACTGTTTTCCCACAATTGTCCTGCTTAGTATCTTGGGTTGGCCTCAAGATGTACTGCTTGAAGTAGACCCTAAATGGTGCCTTCCCGCTTCTCTCTCCTGCTGGGGGTAGGGAAGTGATGAAAGTGTAATTCCATGTTAGGCATAATGAATAAAGGAATTGAAAATAAAACCTCAAGTTTCCTAGTGCCCTGTACAAATCTGTGGGGCATCCGCCCTTAGAATGTTACCTGCATTTCTGGTTACCACACCTAGACAAGGTTATTGTAGAGCAGGAAAAGTGCAGGAAAGGGAAGCTAAAATGATCAAGGGGCTGGAGCCAATCCTCTGGGAGGAAAGGTGACAATAGCTGGGATTGTTTAGTTTAGAAAAAGGGACAGTAAGGAAAGAGCTGTGCAAAATTATGCATCTTGTAGAGAAAGTAAGTAGGGAAAGATTTTTCTCCCTGTCTCATAATAGAGCAACCTTAGGCCATTCCATTAAGTAGATTGGTGGGAAATTCAGGACAGGTAAAAGGAAGTCCTTCTTCACACAGCACACAGTTAAGCATTCACTTCCACAAGCTGTAGTGATGGCCACCAATTCAGATGCCTTTATTGACTAAATTTATGGAGGAGAAGCCTGTCCATCACTACTAGTCCTGATGGCTCCATGTGTCCTCCTGTATACATCAAATGTTGGGGAACTTGGAGTGGTAGAGGGTATTGTTGCATTCATGTCCTGTTTGTGGGTTTCTGTAGGCAGCTGGTTGGCCGCTTTGTAAGCAGAATGCTGGATCAGATGATCTTATCTGATATTAATCATATCTTATATTCTGAGTCAACACTTAAAAGAATTCAGTCAGACAGTAATTCCTGTTGGCATCTGATACAGGTCACTTTGGCCAGTGGTGTAACTTTGGTCCTGTTCAAGCAGGCATTCTGATCTTTTTTCAACATGCTGTGGTTGAGAGAAGAGCATATACTCACTTACCCAAAGTTCTAGTCCAACTTTTATAAGGGGGATGCATTTAATTTTTGTCCTGTGATGTATTTTCCATTGCTGAAGTGGCATCCAAAGCAGTGTAGAACAAAATAAAATAGTTTAATCAAATAATTTAAAAAAATACCATGAATCGTTAAAGCCATTAAGGTAACTATGAAAATAATCCAAAGAATGGCTGGGATCCAAAACTGCTTGTGTGTTTCCATATTGAGGGCCATGTATGTTTAGTCTTAAAGCATCAGCAGGCCCTCATGCCTCTGAGTGTGCTTCTGCAGAGTGGCTCACTGACCTTGCAGCTGAGACAGTGCAAAAATCTGCTATTGGAAAGGTGGAACTGGAAAATTCTCATGTGTGATCAGAACACTGTGATACTTTGAATCTTGGCCTGCAGCAATAAGAAGATTAACAAGAGCCAGTTGGCCAAGACAAAACATCTTCCTACCAATTTGGCTTTTAGCTTCCTTCTGTGATGCTAACAAGGGAGTGACTAAGAATGCTTCCAACAGAACATGCTCTAGAAAATGGGGACCACCACAGAAAAGGTGCATCTCCTTCCCCTCACCATCCTCACTTTTTGAAACACAGATCTGAGAGAGTGCAAAGAGACATGGAAGTGAGTGCTGTGGTAAGCAGGTCTCAGACTGCTTAGGTTGTCAGAAAGCAATTGCCAGTGCCTTGAAGTGGCACCAGAAGGCCCTGGGTAGTTTATCTGGTTTAAGAATCATGCCCATGGCCAGTCCTTTTTAAAAGGGCAGGTGAAGCTTCTGAAGTGTCTTCAGGGGAGGTCCCTGCATAGACCTCATTGCAGCATTCAGTATAGTAACTTACCAAAACATGGATGACTGAAGCTGAATTACAGCTGTTAAAAGGTGTCATCTGAGAATCCAGCTGCAAAGAAGTTGTGTTCAAGAGTGCCTCTATTTTCTGCAAATTGTCCTTTTAGGGGGAGTGTAACTTTATCCAGAAAAGAGAAAGCCATCCCTTCTTTATTATGCAGAGTTCATGTAACTCTGAAAAAGAAAAGTGTCAAGAGTTTCTCACCATGCTAGTCTCTCTTGAGTAGCCTCTAAATAAGTTATGCCATTCAGGCATTTCACAGCAAGAGAAATAGTGCCAGCTGGGTCACTTTAATTTCCCAGTGTTTGACTAACTCTTGGCAATAAAGATGGACTTGCTTGTAATGAGCAGCGCAGTCAGGCAGCAGGAAAAGCTGAAGGTAACATCTTGCAAATTCTTCATGCAATAAATAATTAAGGAATTTGTTGCCACAGGATGTTTTTATGGCTGCTAAGTTGGATGGCTTTTTAAAGGATTGCAGTGATTCATGTCAAATATGCCTCTCATTGGCTGTTAGCCAGTGTACTAAAAATGTTCATGTTCAGAGATGCTATACATTCTTCAGATTACCACCTGCTGGGGTTGAACAACCACAGGCGGTTCTGTTCTGCAAACATTTTCTAAGGTTCTTAAAATGATTGGACTTCTGTATTTCTCCTTCTTTTGCAGGAGCTGGCTTATCGTCGTGAAAAGATAAAGCCTGAAATAATTAACAAGAAAATAGGAATTAGGTTTGTTCATAATCTCTCCCTCTCTCTTTTTGAAAAATACACATAAGCCTGCCAGTGAAAGCATCTGTGTTGCATTTCTAGTGCATGCTATGTTGTTTTGTTTTTTTAGTAATTAGTAAGAGTAGACAAGGCTGGTCATGTGACAACCATAGAAATGTATTTTTTATTGTGCTATATAAATCAAGTCTGAGACAAGCTTCAGAAGTGTCATTTAATAAATATCAGAATATAATTTTAGTAATTTATTGTGAGTACACATTTGTTCTATTATATTTATTAAAATTGTTAGTTTTTCAATCACTTTGAATGAACACATATGATTACCCTGAAGCTGTGTCTTGTAATGCTGTTCTATTAAAATATTACCAATATTGCTAAGGTGGTTAGACCATTACTTCCAAGAAATCAGTTGTCTCCAGTCTTCCACACAGCTCAGATTAAAAGGTACATCATCTCCCATCTTTCAGCACATGGATTCCACCCAACCATGCTACACTTGAAATCTTAGCCTTTAGAAGTATGTCCCCATGTCAAATACACAACTTATCCTCTGAAGCCCTTTGGAAGGCAATGCCACAGTATTCTGAGTGCTGAAAATTCAAGCAGCTTATTTTATACTTAAGATCTTGGAGAAATGTGTTGATTCATGGATGTTGGAGATAGTCAGGGGACTGGTTTAGATATGCTGAACCTGATCTCTAGTTTCTTAGTGGGGCAGCTGTGCTACCATTCTGAGCCTTTAATTATTCAATTGCTTTGTACATTTTAATTGTGTAATTAAATGCAATGTACCCCTGCTAGTGTAAAACTCCTATAAATTGTGGAACATTGTTTTCATCCTTGTACAAGTGTCAAATCTGCAACTTCGATTCCCTTTTGTAAGCCATTGTACAACTCCAACTCATTATGACTTCATTATAATAGATATTGTTTGTGCTAGTTGTTCCACCAATATAACACCGCCACTGGTACTTTTTTCTGCCAGCTTAACATTGGATGAACCCATTTTTTCTATATGTACATGGTTATTTAGTGCAAAGTAAAGTGTCTTAGATTCTACTGCAATGTAGAATCCCTGCTCTACCCTTTTGTCTCCCAAGAAATACAATGAAAGCACACTCACTTTTTTGTGCTATGTCTTTTTATGAAGAAAAATTGCACTCAGGCAGCTATCTTAGTAGGAACCTCCCGGTTAGAGCAGGCAAGTTCTACAGCATATGTAACATATCTTTTTAGGGGGTTCTTGAGCCAAATTGGCAGAAAATTAAATAAATAAATAGTTCATCTCTGTTTACTGAGTCTACACAAAGCTTCTGTACCTGGAGTTTTAACATGTGCCAGTGATTCTTGTTATCCACTTAAAGAAGGTTGCTAAAGTCCATTTACATTCTTCTTTCTGATCAGCTTTCCCCAAACTATCTGTCTCCCCACTTCTTAAAGTAACTTTTGTTACTCTGGCTTCAGTTGCCTTGAAATCATATCCCATCTTTTTAAGCCAGGCTGTACTTTGCAGTCCCCTGAGAAGATTCCTTCTTTTTCTTCCTTGCCAACAGAAGACCTAACAGTTTCAAAAAGTTCTGTGAGGAGAGTAATTAGATTGTAACTCCTGAAACAAGTAAATACTTTTGAGAGATGAATCTTCATGTTTCAGCCTAGGACATTTTTAGTACTCCAGTTTTTCTCCTGTACCACACTGTAAATCTGAGGACATCCTATAAGCTAAATGCTGAAAGAAATACACATTGGTTAGAGTACAGAAGAGTTAGGATACTTGCTCAAAATAACAGTGTATTTGAAAACTGTAAGGGCAATTTTTGCAGAATATAAAGGTTTTATGAATATTTATTAAAGTATTTATATGCCGTCCTGTCGCGAAAGCCTCAGGACGGCTCACATAGATAAAATACAATAAAATAGCATATATTTATAACATATGCTATTTTATATATTTACATATATATAACATAACATATTTTATAACATAGATAAAATATAAGGTCTTTATATCATAAAGACTAGCATGATACTTTTGGAGACAACTATTTTATCTCCTTGTTTTATTTGTGAAGGCGTCTTGGCTATTTTGGAGCTACAGGGCTTGATCATTGCAAATGAAAGTCAGTGGCTTCAGAATGAAACCATGTGATATTTCTTCTTTAAAAATTGCTCTTGCTTTTGTTTTAGTGAGACTCCATCAAGCCTTGCAAAGCTGCTCACCAGAATGTGTTTGAAGTCACACGTCATAGGGAATGGGAACAATATAGAGGTTGAAATCCCTCCTACCAGAGCTGACATTATCCATGCATGTGATATCATAGAAGACGCAGCAATAGCGTATGGCTATAATAACATTCAGATGACTATTCCGAAAACATACACCATAGCTAATCAAGTAAGATTGCACCCTTAAGTAAACAGTCTGTATTGTCGGTTAAAAGGCTAGAGGTATGCCAGAAGGGTTCTTAGAAGAAAACTGAGTCTAAGAATTAAAACAATATTCTGTCATGTCTTGTAGTAAGGGGAGTTTACCATAGCAAGGATACAAAACAGATGCCCAACTGATCTGAGAAACTCAAAAGACCTGCAGTGGATGGGCTTTCAAAAACGGCAAGGTTTAAACCTGGAGGCCATATTAAATCTCGAACCGGGAATTGCATTTCCTCCGTAAAGACCAGATGTAGCTGGTTGGGGTTACTTCTTTCTTTTCTTTTTTTTTTAAGGGCACATAGCAGTCATCTCCATAATTTCATGATACTTAGCTGAAACTTGAAAAATGTTTTCTTTCCCCTCTAGTTCCCTCTTAATAAGCTCACAGAACTTCTGAGACAAGATCTGGCAGCGGCAGGTTTTACCGAAGCTCTCACTTTTGCTCTGGTGTGTATTAAAGATCTAATTCAGGAGGTTAAGGCTTCAGCGGCAGAAGTGCATCTTACAAGGGTGCAGACTGTTGTTGTGTTTTCTGATTGCTCTATCAAGTCCTGATTCGCTAATGCCTCCCTGTAAACATTTTACATGGCCCTGCATTGGTAGCAGAAAGTAAAAGTTGCTCTTATTTTGCACTCTACAACCTAACATAACAAGCTGGCTTTTTCTCTCTGCCAGTCAAGAGGCTGGAGGAAAGAGAAGAATTAGGAGCTTCCCTTTTGGGGAGGTTGTAGCTGGCAAGGCATCAAGCTCCTTTCTGCATTCAGGTGTTCCAGCTGTCCTGCAGAGCTGAGACTGAGGAGGAATACTTCATCAGAATGGAAAATAAATTTTCTGGTTATGCCTTGGATGTCAGAGGAGTTCGCTGGTGGCTTTGCTGTCTCCTTAATGGAAAAGAATTTCTCAAACAAATCTTTTTTTCCTATTTTGTAATATGAATACTTGAAACGTGATATGTCAGCAGACATCAAAGAGGGCAACTGACCTTCTTTGAAAAAAATAGTTATGAGACTGCTTCTCAAGAAACCCTTGGACCCTATGGATTGTAATAACTGGCTAAGCACAGCCTTGGATAAAACTGATGATCTGATATAATTATCTTGTGCATATATGTTTGCATGTTCTGTTGGCTTATATTCATTGATGTTTCTGTTTCTTTGCTTCTACTCCTGTGTTCTATTGCATTAATTTTTTAAAGTACACCACTTAAGGGCAACTAACAGAGGTACCAAATAAATCCAGGATGAACAGCATGTAGGCCAAAACATCAGGAATTCCACAGCTGCCATTAGTCCTAGCCAGCATAGCCAGTGGTGAAGGACTCTGGGAGTTGTAGGCATAATATCTGAAACAGAATGGTAATATGAATGACATTAAACTAGAATACTGCCAGTTCAGATTATTTTATCCTAGTTAGGTTTGGCTCCTTTTCTAGCTATTCTTAGATGCTTAATTGAATATGAGAGCTCTCAAATGATTTCTGCCATATACTCAGTTCATATGATTATGTCATATGTGTACCACTTCATCGCACTATGTATTCTGAGCTTGCATTGGGGTAGCAAGGCTGTACAGTCCCAATCATTGTGTACAGCTACACTATGTGATTGGATACACATGCAATCCTGCATATACACTTCCAATTCATGTAGTTCTTTGGGATTCCAAGGACGCACACAGGAATACGTGATGGCAAACAGACTAGCTGTGTTCAATATACACAGTTGGGTGAAGATGTGAATCGACCCTGTTTTATTTGGTAAGCTAAGAAGTAGAGTTGTGTGGCTACAGGCCTGCACTTTTCCAGTTAGTATGGCAGGTGACTTGATAAGATGACTTGACATACTAACTCAATGTATAGCTATACAAGCAGGTCTTTTAATAATTCTGTAGAAAGCAGTATTAGAGAAGAATGCTAAAATTGACACAAGTATGTAGCAGGACTGCCATGCCTTTGCTAGGTCCATTGTGCTCACTAGACTCACCACTCATGCACTTTTGTTTTTTTTTTTTTTACTTCTAATTTTTATTTATTTATTTATTAAAACATTTCTATGCCGCCCCTTGCCAAGGCCTCGGGGCAGCTTACAACATCGAATACAAAATACATCTAATACTGTGTGGAAATGAAACACTTGTTTCCAGATTGGAACATGTTGCTGAAGCTTCCACCTGTTAGCTTCACTAACTTGCCATTTTTGTGAAAAAGCAGAAAAGCTCATTTTAGAATATTTTTAGCACCACAAAAAGCCTGTGGCATGAACACTAGGTCCCACAAGTGCATAAGCACAATATAATACTACCCTACTCCCCTGTCCTTTCAATGTCTTGCACATGGAAATGGTGTGATCCTTTCAGTTAGAATTCAGATTCACTTTATTTTAACACCGATATGTTATCAAAAATAATATTTTCTCCAGTAGTGAATTTTTGTCTGTGACACCAGAGTTAACATACCATAAAGAAAGGATTCTGGAGTTTTCACTTTCTGTTTTCTCACTTGAGTTATAATTTAGTTGATTAAATTGATTTGTTTTCTCTCCCTGTCAAATGTTAGTGTTCCCAAGAAGACATTGCTAATAAGCTGGGGACTGACACCTCTGAAACAAAAGCTGTTCACATAGCAAACCCCAAAACAGCAGAATTTCAGGTGAGGACTACAGAGTCAGTGCCAGTTCATATCTGCAAATTTTAACTAAGGTTGGCAAATATGTATTTCTAGATGATGTTGGGGTATAATTCCCATTATCTGTTTTGATTGGCTATGCTAGCTGGAGCTGATGGGAGTTGATGGTGAATGCAAAGCTTTGATTTGTTGTGACATTTAAAATTGCACTGTAGCCCTAATCCCTGGAACTGCCTTGCTGGAGGAAATCGGGGTCTAATGAGTGAGCTTTTGATGGCACAGCAGGGAGGCAAAGCAGTTAAAAACTGCTTTGTTTAAAACATGATGTTCTCACATGCCAGGGCTGTGAACATTGGACTTGGTTTGCAGACTGTAAAGGGTTAGGAAATTACTGAGGAGTCAGGAACAAATTATCATCTTTATTGTCGGTGTCAATATTCCATGGTTGCCATGCATGATTCTCAGTTGGAGATGTTCTTTCCTATAATAGATAGATAATGGATAGATTTTCCTATGTGGCTGCAGGTGGCACGCACGACTCTCTTGCCTGGTCTCCTGAAAACAATTGCTGCTAACAGGAAAATGCCTTTGCCACTGAAACTCTTTGAAATCTCTGACATTGTACTGAAAGATTCCACCAAGGGTAAGACAATTTCAATTTAACAATGATGACTTAAATATTTAGGACACGATTGATTCCATCACTGCTTCAATACTTAGGTGTGAAGGATTCCTGCAGGTTTCATACAGCTGAGTTTTTCCTGTGCTCTAGTTCATGCATGGATGTCTAATGGAATGGGATGTCTTTTGTCCACCTGCTGAATCCTGATCCTGCCCTTCCCATACCCAGCTTGCAGCGCTTGGTGGATGAGTACATGCCATTCCTTCTCATGACCTCTGGCAGTGGCTGGGCACAACCGCAGACATATGTGTAGAGGGGACAGCATGGCTTGTTTGAGAAAATGAATCCTCTGCAGATGCTCTGTTAAAATTGTGAGCAATGCTGGAGGAAAGATGTACTTTTCCAAGATGCAAGTGACTTTCGCGAGGGTAGAGGGCAGCATCTACCAGTTTTGATTCTCATTGCATTTTCCCAGCTCCTGAAAGGCCAGTTATCTGTCCTGCAAATTGTATGGAACAGGATCACCAGACAGCACTTTGAAGTCTCTGTGATACATGTGTAATTTATGCTAACATACTTGGCTGCTCCATTTTTAAAACACTGCAGAATTGTTTTATGGAATGATGCAATAGGTTTCTAGTTAGTTAAAATGAATTGAGGCTTGTCCAAGAAAGCTTAGCTCAGGTTTGGCAGCATGTCTTCTGTGTGATCTGTAATGAATGAACTCCATAATCAACTACAATAGTTCAAGCCTGCCTGACATTACTGTTGAGGAGAAAGTCCTCTAGAGCTGTTAGTGCCTTCTAGTTATGGACCAGACTGTGGCCTAGTCCTGAGTGTGATGGTAAACCTGGTCCTGAGCTACATCAGGCTGTAGGCAATTTTGGGATGCTAGAGGGCAGCACTTACCACTGTTTTTCATTGTGTTTTATCGACTTACCTGTGCCTCTGAATGAGCTGTAGTGAACCTTATGCTTCGGCTTTCCTTCTTCTAGCACAGCTGGGAAGGGAGAATTTGGAAGCTTTTACTTCCATGGGACAGAGTATGTGAGCTTAAGGCCCTCTGCTGCTCTTTTATGTCATGCTAAGCCATGGTTTGGCATGACATGTGAATACATCCATTGAAAACTAGTGCATCAGGGAGAAGGCTAAGCTAGATCCAGTGGGGGTAGTGAAGAAAATTCAACAATTGACAAGTAGTCTGAAGGTGGTACAGTTCAAATACAGGTTTACCAGCTGCAGTCAGATCTAAAACCCAGGAAAGAGTTTGGTTTTTATTTCTTATAAGAAAAGTTACTGCATTGCATATTTTCCTTTTGATATTCCTTTCAGTTAGTGTGAAATTCTAAATGAATTTTGATATTAACTAAGATCAAAGCACACGAAGTCTTTAAAATGCAGTCTTTACAAAATTGATAACTTCGGCATGTTGTTTCTTTTTCTTTCAGATGTGGGTGCAAGAAACCACAGGCATCTCTGTGCTGTCTACTATAATAAAAACCCTGGCTTTGAGGTCATTCATGGTTTGCTAGATAGAGTCATGCAGCTCCTGGAAGTCCCACCAAGTAAAGAGAATGGATACTACATTAAAGCAACTGAAGGTAAGGAAAGCTTAGAAAATGCATCCAAACCTTGCCTGCTTGTCTGCATTGTACCAAAATGCAAGCCCATCTGGACAGTGTCTGATTCACTTCTAAATACTGGTCTTTTAAAAATTCTCGACTGCCTCACTTCCCATGCCTTTTAAGCAAATGCTCCGATTGCTGCCTTACATCCTCATTTAGCTCTCTGTGGCATGATCTGGCCAAGGCTGGCTGGAGATGAAGGGAAGTGTAGGACACTAGGTCAGGGGAGGCTATTGCGGAGCTCCTGTCGCTGTACAGTTTCCCTTAGGCACAGTAATGACTAAGCTCTTGCACAGATGGGAGAATGAGAGTTCACCTTGCTTACAGCCCAATTGCAAAGGCAATTATTTGGTGCAAATGGCTTAGATCTGAAGTAATACAAGTAGGAAGAAGCTCAAATGAACTTTCTTGTTCTTTCCAATCTTGTGCAGTATCCCCAAAAGCCTTTCTGGAGAGTCAGGGAACTCCCACATGAGACCTGGTGAGGGACGGGATTCGGGAGCTTACTGGGGAAGGAGGAATCAGTTCAGACAGGGCAGCAACAACTTCATTTTGTCTGTACAACTTAGGATCCAAGCTACTGATGCATTGTTAATAAAAACAGATGCTTTGTATATAATTTCTTGATTTGTACAAATGTATACAAGCCTGAACATAAACACATCACATTGGTATATAGCATTAAAATTGCAACCGAAAAGCATCACAATCACAACAACACTACTTTATTATAATAGTTAATGTAGTGTTATTCTGCAGCTTCTCTTATAGACTCGTATTTCAGATCACAGGATACTTGTATCATAGGACTGAAACACTTGAAGGACTGAATGTCAGATGGACAGCAGTATGAAGCCAGATGAGAATAAGGGTTATGAATATGTTCTAGTTAAGAATATAACATATGCATGGCTTCATTTTAATGTATATATTTCTATGGGATATGTTTATATTTAAAAACATTTTCCTACAATTGCATTTGTCTTGCAAATATGTGTTTAGCTACAAATTTCTAGCATTTTTCTTAAAACAAGAGCTAGTGAGCTAAAAGCATAGCTGTGTGGTTGAAAAACAAGTATTAAAATTGTACTATAAATCAATGTCAGGATATACATGTATGATTCCTATAGATTAGTCGGGGTGTGTGTGTGTGTTTTGCAACTGTATGCATTAAATTACTGACCGGGGTAAGAAGCCTGAGTTAAAAGATTGTACATTTTAAATACAAAACTTCTGCTATGATCTATATAATATGACTCAGGTGTCTGTTTACTGTATGTAATAAGGTGTCTGTTTACGCTATATGTTTGTTCTTGTTCCGTATGTGCAAACCATGGTTATTAGATCACCTTCTGTTCCAGTAATACCTAAATATCCATTAAGTTAATCTTGGGGTCATGACCTTTTTGCCCTTATAGCAACACCTGTGCAACAATTGCAGATGCTTGAAAATATGGGTGAAATTGTAATGTTCCCCAGGCCTTCACACTAGTATTTAGTGTAACTAGAACCCTGCAATATATTGAATGGGAAATTTAGCCCTTGGTGATCAAGTTTATTAAAGATAAAACCTTGCTCATCTTTGAAACCTTGACTCATTTTGGGACAACCCAAAATAATAAACTGCCTGACACTTAAAGGGGATCAAAAGTACATTTCTTTGATTTATCCTTCCATTCAGAAACTAAGGATTAGATCCAGATTTAAGTTAGACTGTGCTTTACTCCTATTGAAATCAGTGGGACAAGTTAGTTGATTATGTCTCATTATATTTCAGTGGGACTAAAGTGTAACCAGCTTAGTCCGGATCCAGTTCTAACACACTGCAGTCCTCTACATGTGAACCCATAGGCAAGACTGAGCAAAATGGTCCCAAGTAGGCATGTATAGGATTGCTGCCTTAGAAATTGAACATCTTGTAATATCTTTTGTCCAGAGCTGTAGAAGAAAAATGTATGCTGTCCTAAGAGTCCTTCTGCTCCCCTAATTATATAAATGTGTTTGTAGACCAGCCAATTGGGATGAAATTCCTTTAAAGTCCTGGCTGTGTTTTAATACCAGATGAGAGAATTTTATCATAATGCTGCCGCTTAATAATGTTCTGTTCCTTTGTTTCTTGCCCCCATTTACTTAATTGAAGGTGTGATGTTGTGTAGAAAATGCTAACGACAGTAAACTATAATGACAGTTTTCCATTTCAAGTTTGGTTGGCAGTCAGGCAGTTATTACATCTGTTGGAAAATGTCCAGCATATTTACATTACCACAATATTTATGGCATAAATGAAGACAGTTCCCAGGACTGCAAAATGAGCTTTGCTCTAATGTAATGAGAATCTCAGTGACATTCAGGATGACCAAGTAGCTAGTAGTTCATGCACTTCTGAAAAATGTGAAAAGATCTTGATCAGCAAGCCCAAAAGCAGCTACTGTAAATGCTGCTTAAGACCTTTTTCACTTCAATACAGTTGCAATAAGGTTAATTGATTACCTTTTGCTCCTGGTTTCTTTGCATTCCAGCTAAAACACTGGGAAAGATCCCAATGCAATCCTATGCATATTTAGCAGAAAAATATATTGGGATTCTGGGAACTGTAGGACTGTCTCACTGCACTGCTAGAGGAGGGACTAGGGAATTCCATGTCGGTTTTTCTGTTTCTGAGATGCCCCTTTATAAAAGAATATGATCAGGTTACAGGCAGAGGTGTTATCTAATTATTGCCAAGTTCACAACTACATCTTCAGAAGACAAATCCTGGCGATAGCTTCAAGGTAGTTTGCTAAGCCATAACTGCTGCATCCTATCACTTTTCCTAGCCTTTAGGAGTGTTGTGGATAGGTAAGGTGAAGCAACAATACATTAAAACAAAACAAAAACCATGCTGTAATAATAAAATCCCTGCAAAGAAATCAAAATGTGGAGCATTTGTATTTGATTTGTCACACTATAATCTATAGTTTGTAATGGTTTTTGCGTTACAAATGTGTTGCAGACTGTTTTAGTCATTCTACAAACTAAGTTAGTTTTTCGAGGGTCTTTTTTTAAGACATTGCATAAATATCTAATATTTCTTAAAGTCTTAAGAATGAACTGCTGCACTTTCTCAATCATATAGTAACTTGAGTCACAGAAATGCCTGCAAGCTGATCATAGGATGAGTCTTTAGGTGCTATGTGGGGAGACTGATCCTCCCACCCAGCGCTCCCTTTCTTCCCCTTTACTCCAGTCAGACATGGGTTCTAACTTGACCCATTTCATGCTTGGAGGGGCATGCTGCCATCATCTTGCTGAGGCGAAACCATTCTGAGTCTTGTTGGTGCTTGAATGGAGATTATCTAGAAATCCTATATATACTTTATTGTGGGAGAAAGGCAAGGTATAGGAAATGTATTTTTAAAAGATATTAATCAGTGAAAGGGGTAAATTAGGAGATGGTTAGAAAGGGGAGGATTTAGGGAAAGGCTTCTTCTAAAATGTTCATTCCTAAATTTATTTTGCTGCCCTACACTAAATTCTCTCACTAGAAATCATTTTGGAATGTTTCACAGGTACAGGACACTGCTAGATTCTCTGTCATTAGATCAAACACTTAATAGTGAGATCAAACACTGTAACTCATGTTGACATGTTGATATAATTCTCTCTTTATGAGGAGAAAAGAATGGAGTGTGGAAATAGTGGCACACTAGGGAATTGGAATCATCTTAACTTGATTTGGCCTCTTTGTCATTCTCAGACAGAGTGGCGTCTGTGAAGCCTACTAACAAGAAATTGGTGGAAAGCTGGTGTGCTGGTTGTGAGACATTTTCATTTGTCCATCATACTACTGAAAAATCTACCTTAGTTATTGCCAGATATGTTGGTATCTGAATGCTGATCACAAAATAAAAATGTCCATACAAATCTAAGCAAGTAGCATAATACTGAATTTTTTAGACAAAATTGTTCCTCTTATGGGCCATCTAACAGAACTTCCATAGAGATGAACTGGATTTCTGTAAAAGCACAGTTGTACTTTTGAAAATTCCCATTAACTTTCAGCATTGACTAGAATTTCATGATGAATTCTATCCTAAACACCTGGATCCAATGAATTGCTAATTATCCAAGTGTTGGGTCATTACTTGCTGAGGTTGGTCTAAAGGAAGCTGACAGATTATTATTTCCACAGTTTTGAAGGTTTAATTCAAATAGCTTGTTTTAAATAAGAATCTAAATTTTATTCTGTTCAGACAGTGGAAATGAAGCAGGTATTTCCACAGCTTCATGGTTCTCATGTGGTTCTTATCACAAATAAAAAGTACATCACCCCATTTAAATATTAAACATATTATTAGCATAGATCTTTATCTTGTTTGTTACTTTTCAGTTAAATTATTGTCAAGCAGTCTGAAAATTGACAACCACAAAAATTCAGCTAGCAGGTGTATCTGCATCTGGGGAACATGCAAAGTCAGTGTAAGTCTGCATTAAAAACAGACAAACTGCTAAAATTCAGTATTTTCACATTATGAAGAGAAATTGTCTTGCCTGTAATAGAAACACAAAATTTGACACCAGCAGCTCTGTTTACATGATACAGTTTATACTGAAGACAGGATGTGGGGAATTCTGTCTTTAGCCTCCTTTTCCCTCCATGTATTGATTGTAGAAATTTTCAGTCAATTGCTCAGGTTTAGAGAAAAGTGTTTGCCTTCAGTACACAGATTGTAATGTGTCAAGTAGCATGAAGGTGTTTACTTTGGAAAACATGCATTTCTAGGAACAGTTTGCAGAGGGTTAGCCTCGGTGGACTAGAATCTTCCTCATCAGATTCATAGAGTGTGATCCTTGGTTGTCAGGTATGGGTGAAAGGCAAAGAATAAAGTCTGGAGTTAAATGGCAATTATAGCTTGAAAGTGTGCAAAATGGCTCTTTGCAGCCACAGGAATTGGTAATTACAGAAGCAACTTAGCACTGGTGAGTAAAGTAACTCTTGTAGTAGGACAGAAAACCATTGTCTCAATGCAGACCTACATGAGTAGGATTTTTTTTTTCATAAATTGCAATCTATCATGCTAGAGTTTCCTTTATTCCTTTGTTCTTCAGTGGCCTCCTTAAGATCAGTTACAGTGTGACCTGGCTGGTTAAAATGTTCTCTTACTGAATGGTCGTGTTACTGGACATTGCCAGTTTGCATGTTAAATATCTAGCCATTTGTCTTTTGTGCAGAGAATGGCCAGTTTGCCTTATATAAAGAGCAGAAGGGTATTGGAGGCAGATGATAGCAAATGTCACCTTGGAAGGCAAAAGCTAGTATTTTTGCCAGGAAATGCTCAGTCTGGATAGCTCCTTGTCTATACAGTCCCATGACTGCTGGTTCGGTGCTTTTAAGTACTTTTTGATCTATTGATGATAACTTAAATCATGTTTCTCATGGGCTCATCACTGGGGAATTATATACACTGCAGTAGAATGGATACTTCAGTTAACCTCAGTAAATAGTTTATGCAAAGACTGATGTATGCTCAAGTTCATTTTTCAGTAACAAACTTCAGTACAGAAGTTGTGAGATGAAAAACTTTTCATAACGAACTTCATCACAGAAGTTGTGAAATGAAAATGTTTCTTTCTCCTTTCAAGGAGTTCACACTCCACAATAGGCTAACTACGTAATTATCCCTTTTTGTCCTGCATCTGCATACCTGTCCAGACTACGACACCTGTCCAACTGATTCAAACATACAGTAAAGATTCTTCTTTTTGATGTTCAGAAAAGGGACAAGAGCCTGCTGTTAAACTGGGGGATTACATGTATTAGAAACTTCAGGGGCTGTTAACTGTTTTACTTCCGGCATAAGCAATTTACACAGATCAGATTACATGTTTGCATTTGCTCTGTAAGTAGTTCCTTTAATTATTCTTTCACTCTTTCTCTCTCTCTTGGAATGGGCATTTTGGAATTAATACTAGTTGTGAATGCTGAGTATGGCATATTTTCATGCAAAATCGTATTTAATTGCGGGCAAGATTATCTGCCAAATAGAATGGTGAGAAAAAAATATTGCAGCTGTGTGGTAAAGATACTTAATTGCTATTTACATGCAAAATTTATCAAACCATATATTTACTATGAAAACAGCATTAGTGAAATACATTTTATATATTTTATTCAATTAGTAAAATAGTATTATAGAGTCTGGCATTTTGAAGGTTTTGCATTCCTGTATCATTAGATATTGTATTTTTGTGTGTTTAAATGTTAATTCCAAGTTCATGTTAGAGTTGTTCATAACTTAAGTTCACTAAGCTTCCTGAAATGGACAAATTGAAGTTTTCTATATTTTCCCTGTTGAAAGAGCTAGCTTGTTTGTTTGGAATGACTGTAACTATTTTAAATGTGTACTATGTTTTAGTCAACATATATAGGAAGGTTTCTGTTCCAGGTTCCAGGTAATAAACATTAACTAGTGAAAATTGTGACTTGAAACTTCAAGAATCATGTTGCATAACATAACCCTTCCTTTCTGTTGCTTAGATATATCTAGCATTCATTCATTTCAAACTATAGGAGCGGAAGTGGCATGATCTATAAAGCTTATCCTATCTCTGTTCCTATATCATCCCTTTATTTTTTTCCCTTCCTAAATATGGGAAGAAGGGAAGGAATTGAACAGATAAAAGCAGTCATGTTAGGTGTCTGACAGCCAAGCACATAGAGAATTCAACAAGCCTTTTGAAGATCAGTTAGCCAGAAAATGTGCTAAAGACCAGGTACTCCATTGGATTAGTGACCAAAGAGTTATGCCTTGAGTAATCAGAGTGGTTCTGTAGTCTGAACACAAAGACAATGATTGGTTCTTAGGGGCATATTGTAAAAGCTGTAATAACAGAATTCTTTGAACCTCAAAGCATTTTAGGGATCACATCCTTACTGTGAATTCTTATTTTTGCTTCTAGCTTACATATAATGCTTCTCTGACAAGAATAGTTAGAACTTCTATTCCCAGAATGCACAAACATTTGTTTATAGTCAGTATGAACTACTTTTTGCCCCACCTTTGATAGTTACCGGTGGGGCAGTATAGACCCAGGAAAATGATGCAACATACCATTTCTGATTTTTTGGGGGGAGGGGCTAGAAAATAAATTTTTGAAAGTGATTCACTGCCTGCCTGATACAGGAAATCAAGCAAGTTCCAAAGTTTTGCTGTGTTCTTGCTGTTGTGATATATTTCTTTAAATGCTAATAATTTTGTGTGTATGTAAATGAGTTTTTTGTTTTAATTTCCACATGGATATTTTCAGAATGCAGGGAATAGAATTATCCCGTGTAAGTCCTGTGGCATTTCTTCCTTATACACAGTAGGAGTTTGTTAATGGCAAAATATGAGATTTTGAGATTGGGCCCCCCCCACCCCAATTTGCGATAGCAGCATCTTTCTTTTTGGCAAATTTTCTAAATCAAAATGAAATGGTTGCATATTGCTGTTAACTCAGCATTTCTTGGTATGCTATTTCTAGAAGTACATCACTGCAGTATAGTCTCCAGCTCTTCTGGGATCATTTTTGAGTCACTTAGTACAGGATACTTCATGGGAGCTTTTGCTAATAGCTTCTTTTTAAAAGTATGTAACTCAGACCTCTTACATTAATGCAACTCTATCTGAAACCAGTGACTTCAGTGTCTTTCTCCCTATGAATTTCTGTTGAGGATTAGATGAGAGACAGATGAAGTTTTTTGCAGCTGGGGTTGTATGTGACTTTGCCTTTTTACTCAAATATAAGGTTCCGAATTGTGGTAATTTGACCTATAATATATCCCTTGTTAAGCTGGGTAACAATCAGTCCTTTCCAAAAAATATATGGCTTGCTAGTTATGTTAATCTCTTTGTTCTAGGATGACTTATCCATTGTGACTGAGGAGAAGGTTATGCAGTATGCTAACGTACTTACAAAGAATACCTCTGAACTGCCATTAAGCAGTTAATTCAGGAATTTGATGAATTTGAAGACCAATGTAGCAGTCCTCCTGTTTCTTTTTTAATTCAGCATAGTGATCCTATGGATCAGAGTTTTGGACCCTTTGGCTTCCAGATGTTATTAGATTCAAACACCCTTCAGCCCCAGGCAGCATGTGTTTTATTGTTGTAACCCATCCAGGGACCTATGTGGTTAATGGGGTGGGCTAGAAATCAAGTAATCAGTCAATCAGTGGGCTCAGGAATGATGGTCCAGGAACACCTGGAAGACCACCACTCCATCAATCTGCTGGTCTCTTAACTACAGGCTGGTACTACTACTTATGCACCAGCAGAAGGAAATTTGCACAGCTCAGGGCAAAAATGTGGCTAAAAGCAACTTGGGTAGGGGAATAGTTTAAGCTGAGGAAACAATGTGGGGGAAAGGATTACATTCCGCTGTCCCTTGCAGCAGCTTTTAATGAAAAAACAAGTCACAGAGATCTTGTGCTGCATGTTGTTTTGCTGTAAGATACATAAGTTGCAAATATTTGTGGGACAAAGTTCTAGCAGTCAATTGCAAAGCATCGTGGTGGCCTTTGCAGCGTCATCTGTCTCTGGAGATAGCAAATGTTATGTCTAGGTAACAGTGCCCGTCTAGAAAAGGAAAAGGGCATAAGCATTTCCACATAATGTAACTTTCTCTGCAACATTTTCCCCTGTATTGGGGAAGTCTTGCATGAACATGTCACCACATGAGAACTCTTTGGGGAAGTTACTGTGTGATAACTTCTCCATGATAAAAACATGGATTAGTCCTTAGTTGTACTACAATTTCAAAGAATTTTAATAGGAATACAAGAAAGTTTCCAAAGTAGGGAATATAATACAAGTAGATCCATATTGGCTGTAATGGGCTTAAACCTCTCTCTATGCTACTGTATATCCATGTAAGACTAGCAGTCTGGAAACTAAGATTTTCAACCATCCCTGAAAACATGGGCTTATAATTTTATTTCACAATATATGGTACAGCTTTGCTTTTGGATTGCTGCAGTTATACCATTTGGTTATTGATAATACCAAAGTCAAATGCATTTTGATTATGAAATAAGCCTACTTATCAAGAATGTATATTATCAAAAATGTACTTATCAAAAAAGCACCTTTTAGAAGTGCTGCTCATTGAAAGCTATTTTTCATTGTTTTAACAGAAATAGTTACAATACAATCATGTTTGTGCTTGATTTTAAGTTTCCTGCCATTTTTTTTCCTGGAGAAACATTAATTTCCCCCTTCCCTTTCTTTTCTTTCAGGTTCTGCTTTTTTCCCTGGCCGTTGTGCTGAGATCTTTGCGAAAGGGCAGAGCATCGGGAGCCTAGGAGTTCTCCACCCTGATGTTGTCACCAAATTTGAGCTCACCATGCCCTGTTCTGCTCTAGAAATCAAGATTGAACCTTTCTTGTGAAGATTGGCATCCTTCAGTTCGCGTTTGTCCTGCAACCATCCCACTTTTCCTATCATCAGGCACTTGTCCCTACTTTTAATGAGCTAAGCCCGTCTTGTTATGGTCTTTAATTTAAAAAAAAGCTCCTTCAGTGCAACAAGGCTGATTTAAGTAACAAAAGATGACCTTTCCCAATAGATTGAGCCATAAGTTCAGTGTATGGACAGAATACATGTGTTTTCCAGAAGGTTCCAGAGGATGAACTTCAGACTGTAACTGATTGTAGCTGCGTAACAGGAATTTCATTCTATTCTTACTGCATGAAGTAAGATAAGTTATTATAACAAATGTTGAACAAATGTGAACAGAATTGAGCAATTTAGCTCTTCATGTATAGGGGTTGCAGCAAACTTCAACAGAGGGCAGGGAAATATGTATTCCTTGCAAAAATTTAGAATTTTGTAAACCAGTTTCTACAGTAGTTACAGTTGCATGTCAAGTTGCTTCACTGGAAAATAAGGGATCAAAATAAAATGTGCAGGTTCTGTATTTACCTATTCTGAGACTTAAGCTCCAAAGGGGAGAACTGAGAAGTGAGTCCTGTTTGTGCTGTGGAATATCAGAGTTTAATGGAAGCAGCCTTGTGCTGCAAGGTGTTTGAGTCATCCTGTGTGTCCTGACACCAGGAATCTCTTGTACCACCAGCAAAGAAGGATTGTCCCCAGTCATCCTGTGTGTCCTGACACCAGGAATCTCTTGTACCACCAGCAAAGAAGGATTGTCCCCAGTCTATTTGTATATTCCTAAAGGAACTCTCTGGTTTGTGGACATGATGTTAGTCCCTTTATAAGGTTCAAGTGGGTAAACAATGATGTCAGACGAGAATGCTTTCTACAGAGCTCAAAATGCTATAGTATATATTCTGAGTGCAGGGGAATTGACCTTTGGCAATTGGCTAGTAGTAAGTGTGGCCAGTTTTATAGAACTTGTCCTTGAGTTTGGGAAGTGTGGCGCTGGGGACAAGGTGGCACAATGAGCATGCCAAACAGCTTCAGCCCGGTCAAATGCAGCATGGAGGCAGTAGTCCTAGTTCCCGTTAGTTCCCAGATGCCTCCCCCAATCAGTATCAGTGCTTCCCCGATTGCTTTGGGTCACTGAGGGGGAAGTCAGTTCCCCAGGGCTACTGAATCGGCAGGGCTATAGGGCAGTGGAAGTGCTGTTCACACAGAGAGCAGCCCAGGGCCAAGAACACCAACCCCTGCTATAGATGAATATTTAATACACTTACAAATACATTCAGGACAAAATACACTTTAATGAAAAATAGAGTTTCCAGAGACATGTAAGGTTTGACTGAAGCCAGAGATAACCAGTTCTCAGAATACACTTTACATATTTCACAAGTTACAGTAAAAGGTACAAAATAGAAATTGTGCAGGTTGTAGTTTATAAATCAGAGCATATACATGTGTTTATAAAACAAGCTAAAATACATGCAATCTGGAAAAACAGTTCTTTAACTAAAAACAAAACAAGAGCTATGTCTAAATCAGAATCAACTACATAGCCTAGCACATAATTAAGAAATCTGTTTGCAATATATTTCCCTGAGGACTGAACTAGATATTATTTCTGCACAAACATGCTCTCAAGGCTGGAGATGATGGGAATACAGGTAATGAGCAATCAGCAGAGCAAGGGGTGGAGGGGAGGGGATGTAGGTGTAGAAAGAATTCAGTACCTTTCTGTATGGATAAAAATAGTGGCTGGAGTCCAAGTCTTCCCTTATATTGCCCTAATGAATTTCTATTTTAATATGAGCACTTTATTGGGTTTCAGGTGCCTTTGGCCTTCATACAACCCATATTTTACAGAATGCATCCAAAGCATTAAGATGCTGGGAGTAATGAATGTAGAAATCAGCCCTATTTTTATGGTGGAAGTTCAAATATCTGGGAATATTTATGTAATCCTAGCATAATAATCTCGCTTCCTAAGTAGCTGCTAGGTTTGTGTTGGTTTTTTAATACTTTACTTTAAAGCTTATTTATTTATTTATTTATTTATTTATTTATAGCATTTTTTATGCCACCCCCATCGCAGAAAGCCTCGGGGCAGCTTACAAAAAAAGATAAACAACGTAAGATAGAATAACATTAAAAATTTGGAGCATCTCGGCAATAGTTTAAAACCAATAAATAAGAACAACAATTAACAATTAAAATATCTTTTAAATAAAAAGGTCTTGGCCTGGTGCCGAAAAACAACGATGGCACCAGGCGGACCTCTCTGGGGAGCGCATTCCATAGGTGGGGTGCCACCACAGAGAAGGCTCTCCTCCGGGTACTCACCCTCCTAACATCCTTCACAGAGGGCTCCTCCTCCACCGATCTCAGGGGGCGGGAGAGCATATATGGACGCCAGCGCTCCTTTAGATAACCAGGTCCCAAGCCATTGAGGGCTTTATAGGTGATAACCAACACCTTGAATTGGGCCCAGACTTCAATGGGGAGCCACTGAAGCTGACGGAGAACTGGGGTTATATGAGAACAACACCCAGTCCCCGTCAGCAACCTGGCAGCTCTATTTTGCACCAATTGACCATCTGGACCATCTTCAAGGGCAGCCCCACGTATAGCGCGTTACAGAAGTCTATGCCTGTGTTTATATTTGAGCAAATTCCCAGGCCTATAAGTCTAAACTCTGAAGTTTCTGCTGTTGTAGTGCATTTAATTCCCTATTGGAGAGTCTGTGCAAAACTACAGTCTTATAGCAGTTTGTGATGATGATTATAATTGAGATCTTAATGGATCTTTTTTAGCATCAAACCATTTCTAGTTTTAGCTCCATCCTGCCCTAAAGTCCAGTATAGAGAAAGTTTTTAAAAAGCTCCCAGGGCAGTAGCTGTTTGTGTGCTTGGTTAAAGCTTTCACCTGGCAAAAGGAACTATCCAGTTGCACAAAAATGACTAGTGGAAATCAGAGGGAAAGATTCAAAGTCTTGCAGTGAAACTTGTTAGGTAGCAAAAAATACGCCATAATCACATTTGCACTCGCAATTAAATTTGTTGGCTCTAAAGTTTCGTGCTTAAGTGCCCCACTGATGGAGCAATTGAGTAGCTGTGATGATGGAGTATGCACACTACTGCAGATCTAGAAACCCTACCATTGCACAGTTTCAGAGGATCATAGCACTGCTATATCCATGAAATTTCTTCCAATACTGAGCCTGAAAGCTGATGAATTGTCACATTTTCTGATAGGAAAGAATTAAGCTAAAAGTGGCACAAAATTTGTACAAGAGGAGCATGGGAGCCATGTCAGCTCCAGGTCTCTGAAGGCCCTTGGGCAAGGTACCCTCAAGGAGACCTGCCTCTTAGTGAGAACCTTCTCATCACCAGTTACCATTACTCTTTCTCATCACCACTACCATTTCCCTGCTTGACAGGAAGATCTAGTGAGAACAAGTATGTTTCCTTCTCAGCACCACAGTTGTCTAGACCAGGTCAAGAGGCTGATGAACAAACAGATTGCAATGGGGAAGAGGAGAGGTAAATCCAGGAGGCACATGCTGGTAGGTCTGTGCTTGACCATGCCTACCCTTGATGCGGACCCTGTATGGGAGCCCAGATCAGCAATCAAGAGTCAATAACCTGACTCCATAAAGGAAGCTGCAGCCTTGAATTTATAAGCGCTGAGCAGGGCTGTCATGGATAGGACATTTTGGAAGGATTTCCTTCATAGGAACTCCGTAAGTCAGGGATTGACTTAATGGCCTGTACCAACAAGTTGGCTTGAAACTCAACATTAAGAAAACTAAGATCATGGCATCTGGTCCTCTCACTTCCTGGCAAATAGATGGGGAAGAAATGGAGGTAGTGACAGATTTTATTTTTCTGGGCTCCAAGATCACTGCAGACGGGGACTGCAGCCAAGAAATGAAAAGACGCTTGCTCCTGCGGAGGAAAGCTATGGCAAATCTAGACAGCATACTAAAAAGCAGAGACATCACCCTGCCAACAAAAGTGCATATAGTCAAGGCTATGGTTTTCCCAGTTGCAGTGTATGGCTGTGAAGCTGGACCATAAGGAAGGCTGAATGCCGAAGGATTGAGGCCTTTGAATTGTGGTGCTGGAGGAGACTCCTGCGAGTCCCTTGGACTGCAAGGCGATCAAATCAGTCAGTCCTAGAGGAGATCAACCCTGACTGCTCTTTAGAAGGCCAGATCCTGAAGATGAAACTCAAATACTTTGGCCACCTAATGAGAAGGAAGGACTCCCTGGAGAAGAGCCTAATGCTGGCAACAATGGACGGCACAAGAAGAAGGGGATGGCAGAAAATGGGGTGGCTAGATGGAGTCACTGAAGCAGTTGGTGTGAGCTTGAGTGGACTCCTGGGGATGGTAGAGGACAGGAAGGCCTGGAGGAATGTTGTCCATGGGGTTGCGATGGGTCGGACACGACTTCGCGACTAACAACAACCAACAAAAACCCTGTAACAAGATGTCTGCTCTACTTGCACCTTTTGGACAAGTAATACAAAACCATGCCACAGAATGTTGTCAACATTGTCCTACGTTAGGATGGAGTGCCAAGAGCATCACAGCAATGACTGAACAGATAAAAGTCCACTCACACACAAAGGGGCATTTCATAGGCTGGTTTTCGAGAAGATTAATTCAAGGTTCCACTCTTCTTGCTAGGTGGGCAACCTGTTTCAGAGCCAAATCAACTGCAGTGTCCTCATAACTGCCTTGCACACAGCATCCTAATCTTCCTACAACTGTCATTTCTTACATGCTTGTAGAAACGTCTTTACCTACACTGGATCTTGCAGAATCATGCTTCTGTTGTAGGAAGTGCAGTGCTTGGCTTGATTTGGAAAACTCCCTAAAGTTCACAAAACTGCTAGAGTTGCGGGTAGATGGAAGCTGCTGAATATCTAATTGTCTCGTGCTGCAGGGAATAGACCACTAAGAAGCTCCTTTCAGATCTCCAGTATTAGCAGTGCAGAAAGGCACAATACTATTTTATTCAAGTCTTTACAATAGCATACATTTCTAGTGCATCCCATAATCTGGGCTATTCTTGGAAAAAATGCATAGCATTTAGCTTAAACCCAACATATTATGCAGTAATGGCACAAGCACTGTAGCATTCAGGGCAACGGAAGAATAGGTTATGAATTTATAGGGCACTTCAATTTCAACTTGCTGCAGAGCTTTAAGATCATTAATAGAAACCTTGTACCAAGAACACAGTGATTTAAGAGCCAAGTTTTTTATGATCTGCCGTGTGACAAGCAGTACACCAATTCCTACCAGGAACTTTGCAACCATCAGAAGCATCTTGCCAGTGACTGACACAGTACTGTATGCAGGAGCTTCAGTCAAAGCATCAGAGACATAGTGATTATTCATCCAGAATCCTATAGTGGCTCCTGCCCCAGCTCCTAGAACAGTGGTGGTATCTGCCCTCGTAGGGCTGTAATAATCTACTTTAGGATAGTTGTAGCATAAGAAAAGGGGCACCGTAAAGCAGAATACAGGACACAAAGGGCTGGTTAGTATCAGGTGATCAATGAGGTCCCAGGTAGGATAAGCAAGAGCAGTTAATAGTACTGAGATCAGGCTGCCAACAATCACGTCCTGGAAAGATACAGAAGAAGATAATGTTAGTCATACATATAATATATTTGCAAAACTTTTAAACCACCAAATAACCAAAGTTCTTTGAGTGTTGTACAATATACTATCAAATATCAACATATTAAAAAATTAAGTATATGTATAAAAACATTCCAGAATAAAGGCAAGATAAAACCAGCTGCCTAAAGCTGGATTAAAACTAGAATTGGAATAAAATGCTGAAAACAGAAAATGTGTGTTCAAATGTCTGAGGGTGGGAGGAAGGTCTTCATCTACAGCTGGCTGGATCGTAACTTAGGTGCTAAGTGGTCCTAGTCCACATACAGGGTTCTACCCTGCCTTGTCTCATTTGGTGGGAATATCTGGAGGAGGGTGTGACATGATGGCTTAAAGGTCCAGATGAATTGATACTGGGAAAGACACATGGCCCTAAGCAATTTAGGGGCTTTGGTTTTAAAGGTTAAAAACCTGGAAATGAACTGGTGACCACTGCGAATGGAAGTATGAGCGTTAATGTTTTCCCACTTGCACCAAAAAAACGGAGGGGAGAGGCCTGGCTCCACAGTGCCTGCACACGGACACACAAATAAATAAGTTTGGTTATGACCTCATCTCCTTGTTTTCTGAATCACTAGGATAATGAATAACAGATGAATCATGTTCTGGCAAATGCCTTTGCCTTTATAAAAAATTAAGCTTTGCAGAAAGGAAAAGAAGCTGCTTGATTCACATGTAACAACAACCCAGAGCATGAACTGTTGCTGAACCATGAGTTGTAACTCCATGCTATGATTTAACTATGAGTTGTTAATAACAAGCAATCGAGGAAGAGAATCCACACTTTGTTGTTGGGTTGTTTGTGGATAACATGTCATCGTCACCCTATTTTCTAGGGAACACCTGCAATAACAACCCACGATTTAATGACAGCCAATACTTAACTCCCACACAAGGTCATAGTGCCAGTTTCTATTCAGCAGAGCTGCCAAAACCAGTAGCTACACCCTTTAAAAGCCTACACAGGTTTTGTGTACTGCCCGGACAAAATTGATTAAACTGACTTATTCCAGTGACAGACACTGGAGGAGGTGTTAGTGTGTACACGGCGAGATACCAAAGTGTACCACATGATGCGATACCAAAGTACTTATGTTTTAGCATAGGGGTGCAAGAGACTAATGTAAGAGGCTTGCTGCATCCAGCATTCTGTTCAGTGGCCAACCATGCGCCACTGGCTAAAGCGGGACATGGGAGGATTAGCACTCTCCTGTTCATGTCCCCAGCAACGTGTACGCAGGCATACTGCCTCTGATACCAGAGTTAGCATTTAGCCACCAGGACTAGTAGCCATGGATAGCCTTCTCATCCAGGAATTTGTCCAATCCCTTTTTAAAGCCATCCACAGCAATGGCCGTAGTGGTGATAAATTGGATAGGTTACATATACAAGTGCACGGAAAAGAACTTTCTCTTATCTCTTCTGGATATCCCTTCACTTGGCTTCATGGGAAGATCCCAATGGGTTCCAATGTTATAGGAGTGGAAGAAAAATGTTGTTGTGTCCACTTTCTCCATTCCTTGCATGATTTTGTACACCTCCGTCTTGTCTCCTTTTACTCAGCCCAGTAACATACTGGTCATTATGCAATGGCTCTTTGTTGCATCCCCCTACATTTTCAGATATTTGCAGTGATCTTCCCTTTTAAGAGAACAGGACAGCTACAAACAAACAAAACAGCTACAAACAAAGGATTCTCTGTTCTTGGCCTTGTTAAAATGTGGCTTTCATAGCCAACACCTTTATCCTGGATATTTCTACACTAGCTATTCTTTTCATATTGGCACCAATTCAATTTATTCCAGAGCCTCCATTCCTCCCAAGACAAAGGGCATTCCTGCATCTTTCCCCATGGCCCTCCCGTTATCTTTTATTTTGTTCTTTTAAAAACAGTTTACCATGATCTTTAAAGCTTCTCTCACAACACCAGAAAAAACAATTCAAGGCATGAACTGAACTAAAACTAAAACTATTGTCGCATTTAGTTAGTGGTTTTGGAGGCATTTGTAGAGTTTCACCTCTTTGTTACCTTCAGCATGTTCTCTCACTATAGTGTGTATTTAAAAGTTTGACAGCACACACAGGCAATTCTCCCTTTAGCTTTTGACCTATTTTTTTTAAGACGAGGCGCTGCAACAATATTCCATGATTGCTGCCCCTGTTAGGAGCATTAGGTGTCCCCGTGCGGGATTTTATGGACCTCTGGGCTGATCCAACCAGTAGGGTTCTTCTGCTATCTTAGACCAGCCTTCCCCAGTCTGGGGTTTTATCCAATGTTAGTTCTACATAGTGTGCAGTCACTAAAGTGAATGGGGCTTATGTTCCCAAACCTGGTGCCCTCCAGATGTTTTGGACTTCTGATGAAGAAAGCCAATGATCAGGAATGTTGGAAACTATGGTCCAAAACATCTAGAGGACACCAGGTGAGAGAGGGGACAGAACTGTAAATGAATAGGCGCAGTATGGGTGGCACATCAACTGCTTCTCTTGACAGGCTTAGCACCTCCACTACAATTCCTGGTTGATTCTACTGATGCTGGAGGAAGCTGGGGGTATCTACCTGCATTTGGATAGCACCCTTGAGGATGCGCATTCCTCATCTGAGATTTAAGGGTAAAATATCTAGCAGGAGAGCTAAACTAGGGGTTTGTACCAGCATGCTGTGCCTGCCTCAATGGCGTATCACATAGCGGTCACCTCAGACTGACCTCCTCATGCTGTTTCTGCCATTATATCCTGGATTTCTTCAGACAAGTTATATCATAACTTCATATGTTGCATTATTTTCTGCTGTGTAGATTTCACGGTGAGATAAACTTGTGATACTGTTCAGGTGGGGAAGGAGTGACTTCAGGAGGATGCTGGTCTAGGGGGGACTGTCCTTGATAAATGGATGGGGGTCTAGTGGTTAGCCCTGTGCAGTTCCAAGGAGAATTCAGTCCCTTTCTCCATACACTGCAAAGCTGATATACAGACCCTGTTCAGTTGGTCTAGATGCAGAATGAGCAGACTTTCATGGAGAGGGTGCACACCGTCTCTGCTCCTTTCCCCCATCACTTCCATCCGCACCAGCTTGATACACATTTTTCTAAATTGCAACAGCAGCAGATCGGTATGGCTCCCTTCAAGCCATACCCATGAAAGGTGAGGGTTTGAAGAAGAGAATCTTCTCTATCCATGGAGATTCTCTAGTTCAGCTGACTGACACATGTGACAAGAGAAAACAGGGTCTGGAGCACTCTTCACATGTTTGCACCATCCACTATAGTTTAAATTGTATATCAACTGATCACCCTCACTGACTGATCTACTTATAGGGATACCAATTGTTAGAATATTTCCCCAGTAGACAGAGAGTGTAGTCACATATAATGCAGGATGGGTGACTACTGAAGTCTGAAAAAAAAATTCTACATGTTTCACCTAAAGCTTGCAATATGTTCATCGCCTCATAATAGTAGCCAGAATTCAAGTAGATAACAAGACTAAATAAACCAGACCTGTGCTAGAAAGAAGGGATTGTGGACTTGCCCCTTTAATTCTTTTCTGGACTCTTAATATTGGTGAAAATTGGATTTTCAGGGGTAGTATATTGCCTACATTTGTAGAGTTATGGCAGTATTGTGCATATTTTTGTATTATGTACCATTCAAACACACACAGATACTTCAGCTACTCATCTTCATCTTTGTTCCGGAAGGAAAATGACCTCATCCATGTTTTCTAAAAATATAACTTCCAATGACTAAAAGATGCAAAGGGTTTCAGAAAGACATTTAAAGCAAGTTTAGACAACAGTTTTTCTATCAATACAAACTTCTCCCCACCCATAACCTCAGTTTAATTTCATATTTTCTCCAGAAAGGATTGTGTGTCCTTCATGTACTTTCCATAAGGAGGAAATAATATTAATGAAAAGATTGAGGAGGAACAAAGGTGTGAACACAGCAGAAAGAACTGAATGTATGCCAGTTTAACAGAGGCAAAAAAGAAAAAAAGTAATTCTAGTAACCTAGGTCTGGATTATTGATGAGTGGCTTGAAACCAGTTCACTTTCAGGTTAATGAAGCAAAAGTACTATTTGGAATACTGTCAGCTTGGCTGTTCAAGAATAGACATTCCAGTGTATCAGCCGATCCTCATTCCATGGTGAATGCAAAACAGTACAGACCTTTCCCAACAAACCATTCTTTCACCTCGATGTACATTATTTCAAAAGATCACAACGAACATTGGCAGATTTGAATAGTAAGCCTCCTCCCTCTTCAGATTAACTCTACATGCAATCCAACAGATCACAACTCCCATCATCCCCATTCAAGCTGAAAATGACAGGTGTTGTAATCCAATACATCTGAAGGGCCCCAGGTTAGGAAATGTTCATATATAATTTTACATAGAAGCTTCCATAACTTGTGCTAGTATATTATGATGGACCTTCCAAGTCCGGAAATGTTCAATGTCTCTGCTGTTTTGTCCTGTGTTATACAGGAAATTGGATATATATTAGAGTGGCTAATAATCATACAACAGCGTGACATGCAAATATTTCACACATGTACACCACATTTTGCAAGTTTATCATCATTGTCATGAACGTTGGTAAATGTCTTGCCTTTATTAGATCAAACTGTAGCTTAAAAGGGAAGATTCTCCAGTCTATCTTTAATTAATGACCCAAACTTGGTAAAAATGGAGTCTGCATTCTTCCTTTAGTATGCAGAGATGATAATAAAGAACTTTTCTAAATTCAGATTTGGTTGGTGGCAGTGAAGAGTGAAGCCTTTGTTGACTCTCTTGAAAGAATAAAGCTATTTTAATGTGTAAGAGAGTCCTCCTTTTCAACAGATTGAATTATAGTTTGGTAAGAACATTTTAGATCTCAAGAGAGTGAGGTAAAGTTGTGGCAACAATAAAGCATCTGCAGTTTAAATATATTTTAATGAATCCAGTTATCTGTATTGAATAGAGTTGACTTGAATCTGATCTCCTCCTGTAGCTATGCTGATTCACTTGCTTGTTCCCTCCTTTTCAGATGAATTAAAGCCATTCTTTTCTAATGCTTGGTACTGCAACCCCTGATTGCTGGTCCTCTCCAGCCATGCACATTAGGGAGAGGTCCCCCTGAAAAGCACCATATGAAGCTTTTAACTAAATAAATTCTTTGTAAAACTATCCTCCCTAATGCAGGAAGAACAACCACACATTTACATCTATTCAGAATTTGGGGAAGACATACAGAGGTAATATGGCAGAACTGTCATTTGTACACTGATATTTCAGCCTAAACTTCTGGATAACTTCTTCCAGCAGTTTCAGATACATATTAAAATGAATGGGGGACAAGACAGACCCTTGCAGCACCCATAAGCCAATGGCTCCAAGTGTAGAGCAACAGTCCCTGTCACCACCTTTTGAGATTAATTCTCCAAAAAGGGCTGAAGCCATCATAGCAACATACTTTGCAAGCCCAACCTGGATAGGTGGTCGAGAAGGTTATTGCAATCCATATAAAATGCTACCCTACCATCAAGAAGTCAAGGAAAATCAACAAGGTTGCATTCTTCATTGTATCTATTACCTGGCCTAAGTCATCTACCAGGGCAACCAAGTCTATCTCTATCCCTCTACTGGGTCAGAAATGGGTTGGAATGGATCGAAACATATTACAGCATCCAACGCTGCCTGGTATTGGAAAGCAGCTCCAACACCTTCCCCAGGAATGGAAGATGACTGAATAACTGCCACAGGGCAGTCATTTTCTGAAACCTCTGGATGTTTGGTAAAGGCTTCATAAGTGCCTCCTTGAAGGCAACAGAATTCTCTCATCCTTCAAAGATGCCTGTGAAGTCTCACAATCCTAGCCCAGGCAGATTAAAATAGCCAATTTGGCAGGTACTAAAGAGACACACAGCAAACCTCAGACTTCCAGTTTGTTCAGGTGATGGGTACAAGTTTTAGCAACACTATAACCTTTTGCCTGGAGGCTACCCTTTCTAGTGCGTGACTCTTAAGGAATAATCCTATGCCTCAAAGTGTTGCCAGGGCATGCTGTGAGTTGTAGGACTTTTTTCTGTATAAACACTCACAGGATTGCTCCCTTAGTTCATTAAATCCAGAACGAATAGAATTTGCCAGGAAGATGTGAGCACAGGCTATTAAATTCCTGTTCATTCTTGTCTGTTGATCTCCCCTGTAAATTCCATGTGGATACCTAATTCTGGCACAACCCTTCCCCATTATGGAAATAATTCCAAACACACATTTGGAGAGGAATTAAATTAAACAATGATCTAATCTAATTTAAAAATCCTACTTGCCTCAAATGGCAGTGTAATACTGTAGAAGCTGGGATCACCATAGCTTCTCCCTTCCTTACCGTCAAGTAGGTGTCAAGTTCAGTGAACAGGTCTGTGCTATGTATGTGTGTGCACATAGCAGAGGGGGCTTCACTAACTGAACAGGTGTTCTAGAAGTACCAATACTCATTCAGGATCATAATACAGACTGATGGAATTGCATTACACAGAACGTAACAGCAGAAGACTTTCGCATGAGACCAGGGCCAGGAGAGCCAATGAGAACAGTCTTTTTCACTGTATGCATTTAAAATTAGAATGTCCCTTGTCCTTCTGTCACAAGGAAAGGCAACATACACAAAACACTACCAAATCACAAGAATTACTGCCTGTGATTATTGTGCTGAGATTTTATTTTAAGTTTTATAATCTACTTTTTTCTGAGTACAGAAATTAGAAAAATTTTCCCCAACTTAACATTCTACAGATGTGCTGGAAAGCTGACTTTGGGGCTATTTTTAGTTATATAGTGCATAAGATTATGTATTCCACCAATAGCAAACCATTCAGCTGTTGCTGTCCTTCCCATTCCCCTGAAGCACTTAGTGAGTAACCCCTGGAAGTTTTTGGGAAGTCCACCATTTCACTGGGCCAGAAAGCTTTGTCCCAAGGGCCACCTGCATATAGGCAATGCCTAAAGAATGGCACTCAATTTTGGGGGAGAAAGGATGGCATGAAGAGGAGAGAAAAATTATTTTCATGTTCAGGATGCTTAAGCATGGAGTATATTTACATGCATAGCCTTAGTGCAGGAAGGATGCAACAGAAATGTTGCACTGGCTGTAGTTAGAAGCATCACTGTGTGTGTGAAAGAGAGCTTTAATTTTTCTAATACTGACTTACATTTACGCTTGAGGACTAACATGAGAAATCAACACGTCATTGCATGGATCAACTTAGCAAGGAGACGCCTTACCAGCACCGTGTGCATTCCTGTGTAAATTCTGCTCAGGCATACCAGGGTTGAAAATAAAAAGGCTCCCATAAGGCCTAGTTCAAGTGGGTACTGTGAACATAAGAAAGGTGGGGGAAATGAGTAGCAAATCATAGGTAGCGTATAATCAAGCAGGTACAAGGGCCCATCCATATGCAGGGTTTAGTGTCAGGGCAAGTTCTGAGTAACTGCGAGTCTTGTGAATTAGAATCATAAACCCAGGAGCAAAATATTTAGCAATCACGTGTTCTGCATTGATGTGGTCAGAAGAATTTCATTCCTGCAGCCATGGGCCTGGGTTGGCGCTGCTGGGACTGGGTGCCAGAGATGCAGGAATCACCGGGGGGGGGGGGGGGGGGTTGGCTCCAGGGCCATACTCAGTTATGACATACTCTGTTCACAACCAGCTGGAATCCTGTTCATTTCAAGGGGTCTCTAAACTGAGAGCCAACCAGCTATATTTGAAACCCAAGCTGATCCAACAAAACAACACAGCAGCAGCAGCAGCACCTATAGGAGGAGGAAGGGGAATCGATTCTTCCCTACCTCTCTGCAAAAGGGTGGAGGATTGAGAAGAGAGGGCACAGCTATGTGTGTGCACAAATATATTGGCCCTGTATTTGGCCCTGTGCAATTGACTCTTTCATGTGGAGTCACACGATGGAGAGTAAAGACAGCCACAACTGCAGAAGGCATTAAGTCTACATTAAACCTGGTTGAAGAGCTCCAAATTAATCTCTGCAAAAGGATGACTATGAAATTTACTGCCAATGAACTGTATTTGAAGACCCACATGGATCAAAATAAAGAACAAAGATGGACTAGGAGTAGAATTAATAGCAGCATGCTAGAATAACAGATGAGAACCAATGCGCATAAGCACCAAGTGCAGTGAACATCCAGGGAGAAACAAACCTAGTGGGAGAAAAAGGTGAAAATTGACTTTTTGGAAAAGTTGGAGAAAACAAATTTCCCTGTTTTCCTCCCCATAGATTCTGTTTGTTTGTTTGTTTTCAGGCTTTCACGGCTCTAGGCTAGTGAAGCATACTGAGACAGACAGATGGACGGACGAATCTAGAGCAGGAGGCATTCTGAAGTCCTGGACAAGAAGACTGCACAGTTCAGGGAGGCTCTGTGGGACTATTTATGCATACCTTGTACTGGTCCACCGTCATAGCAACAAAAGTGAAAGAGATCGCACTTGCTGCCATTGCATGTGTGGATGGCATCCCATACTCTGCAGTTGTCCTTTCCTCTAGCCTGACCACGGGTGGAGAACCAGGACGAGGCCACTTCAGAAGGTCTTTGGAGACTTGACCAATGTACATGACCATCTGGAAGAGCAGAAAGGTATTTATGTTTACATTTGTCCTGAAGTTACAAGGGAGAGGGGCTTCTTTCATTGGCCTAAGGAGACTTCAGACTGATTCTCGGGTACAGAAGTTCACTGCTGTGGTTCAAGAATTGAGACAGACAGACAGACAGACAGCTAACCCACTTTATTCACACAATTGCCCCATGAAGTGGGTTAAACTGAGAAAAAGTGAGTAGCCACAGATCACCCAGTGGCTGAACACTAATCATTCTTGTGCACCGGCTCTGATTTTAGACCAGCCTTTCATAATCAGGTGTCCTTTAGATACTTAATTCCCAACATTTTTGCCCATTAACCATGCTGGTGAGGGAGCCGATAGGACTTGAAGTCCAAAGCAGGAAAACTGGTGGGGGAAGGCCAATTTAGATGTTCCTCACTCCACCAACATGCAACTGGACTGTGCTTTACCTTGTCTGTTTACACTGAAAAGCAGTATCCCAGGGAAGACAAAACATTCCCACCAATACCATAAGTAAACCCTTCAGCAGTCTATATACTCTTATTTCTTGGCAGATTTGGTTTGAAAAGAAGACAAATTAAAAGGTAGGACATTTTTCATAGAATTAGGCCTATGAAACCCTGCATCAGCCTTCCCCAACCCAGTACCTTGCAGAAGGATGTCCTGTATCTTATTAATTTTAAATTATTATATAATGACATTGTTCATCTGAAGGAGCATCAGCTTAGCTTCCCATGCTCTAGAGAAAGGGCTTTCCTCCACCCTGCAAAAACTGTAACTCTCAGGTGGGCACACTTGAACCTAATAGGAGCTGCTATGACTTCCAAATTCCCAGTAGAATCAAGTTCCTGACCGTTTGAGTTGGTGGACTGCACCCCACAGACTCAGGCTCTTCCAAACAGTCAAGTTTTATTTAAACAAAGCCTTTTTCACAGAGCTCTCTGGCTGGGGACTGTCTTCAGTTTAAAAGCAAGTGGGTGCTGCTCTCAATTCAGGAGGTGCAATGCGCTCCAGCTGAATCATATTGTTACAGCCTGCTGTTTGGTGAACTGCTGGGAGTCCCATTCTGCTGAAAGGGCACACCTGGGGAGCCGTCCACATGTGCCCTGTTTTTCTCGGAGACCTATCACAGCTCTCAAGGGACCTTGGCACTCTGGGCAACACACTAGATCGTCTCTACTCAAATCACTCAACTCTAGAGAAAACCTTTTGGATTTTTATTATCTGCTTCCTATGCTCCCTCACTTTCTGTGGCAAAGGCACAAAGTAAGATTAAACCATGCATTAAAACATGAACAAAGGTAACTTCAAAGATATTGAAATGCAGCAACTTTGAAAGAAGTGCCCCAAACGCATCATACATGAAGAAGGTAAAATGTTCTAAAGCAGTCTTCCCCAATCTGATGCTCTCCATATATTTAGACCACAGCTCCCAATATGCCCTGCCAGTCGGGTCAATGACCACACTGGCAGAGAACTCTGGGAGTTGTAGTCCAACACTTCTGGAGACCATCAGATTGGGAAAGACTCTTCTGAAGTCACAGCAGAAGGCATCATAATCCCACCCATCATAAACCCAAGTGGTCTAGGATTGCTACACTTGATAGAGCACCTCTTTCAACTGACTCTACTGTCAGCATCGGGGGCCTGCTCCAAGTGCCGACTCTGAGAAGGTCTTGGAGGGCAGCAACAAGCAAGAGGACCTTCTCAATGGTAGTAACCCACCCATGAAATAGTTTCCCTGCTGAAGCCTGTCCGGTGCTCATCTCATCATCCTGGTGCCAAGTTAAGTTGTTCCTTTATGCCAAAGCATTTAAAGTCATAAAAGAATATTCAGGGGCTTGTGAAGACTACCCATCTCAGTGTTAACAGGTGTTAACAGGCTTAACCTTTACCATATCTCACCGTTTTTAATTTGTTTTTGGATTTTTGTAGTTTGGATTTTTTAAAATGGTGTGTTATTGTAGCATTTGGTTTTTGAACTACTGTAAACCAGCCAGTGAGTTTTGGCCAGAGGGTAGTATAGAAATAGAATTAATAATAATAACAATAAGCAACCAGCATTTTTATACCTTTAAGGAGAAAACATGTTCCTCTTTCATGAACCTAATCTCTAGGCAATAGCCTTAAGCAAAGATATGGCAAGCCATGCTCAGCTGGATTATTAAACACATAAAAACAGGAAGGATTTGGGCTGCCACATCTTGTTGAAAGTTTGTAACTAATTTCTTGTCTACAGGATTTGTATTTCTTTTTGATCTTGCTTTGCCCCACTCCTCCCTCCCCCCTTCTCTACCTCTCTCTTTTTTATATTTCACTATGCCTCAAGATGCCACTCCAGTTTAAATTTCATATCATTTCCTGTGGAAGACTCCATCTGCCCTCTTGCATTTAATTCTCTAGCCTTCCCGTCATGATAAAGTGTCACAAGTTTTCCATGGCATTTCAGCAGCTCCTTTGAGTGCATTACAACAATTCTATGACGATGCTAAAGAATGAAAAAGGTATTGGCATCTAGAGGGGAGGGGCGGGCAGGGGACAGAGAAGCCATAAAGGATCCAATATGATTCTTAAGAGTGCTGTTCTTCGTTTGTGCATCTGTTCCTTCTTTCTTTGTTTTTTAAATATCCCTCATGCCAAATAATGTTTTGTTGTAGCACATTATGCTACTTATGTGAAGCTTGAATATGAACACCTTTCTGTGCTATCGTCATCACATTCACTGCATTTTCTGTTGCTCTCACTAAGTTTTTAACTCCTATGGCATGTTCACACAAAATGCCAAAAGCTTCTCCCACCTTCCTGGAAAAATCAGCTGTGACAGAGTGGAACCAAGCCGTAGCATCAGAGTTTGCTATCTTCAAGCTGCTTTCTCAGCATACTATCACTCATGCACCAGTGAAGGCTACAGAATTGCTCGAGAACGCCCCTAAAATCAGGATTTTGAGACTGGTAGCCTGGAGCTTTGCCTTCAATGAATCACGCACTTCAGAAGCGCAACAGTTCCTTTGATGGTCATGGATAACAGCTAATGACAGATAGTGCCTGTATTAATTGAAGTCACTGGTTGGGTCACAAGGTCAAGATCATAGCAAAAGCCTAACTGGGTCTTTTATCAGCAGCTCACATCTGGAGATTTGAGGAAAAGTGACTTTTTTTTTAGTATGCTATGCTGGCGCCATTTTTTGCTACACTTTCACAAATGGATTTCACTCCACAAAGCACTGGCTGTTCTGGTTCAGAATGGAAATGCAGAATGCTTGAAGACAAATTAAAAAAGAAACTATGTAACAAGTTGAAGTATTGCTCATAATAACATCAGAGTGATGAGTTGTTCTCTATTTGGGTTGAGATCTGAGTTAAAAGCTCATAACCCTAAATCCAGTTTCCATCCTTTAGTGAGTAGCAAATCTTTTCTTCAGCTAAAAGCACAGGTGAGAGGGTTGGAGGTTGGTCTGACACCTTGCTGCTGATACACCTGCATACCATGGTTTAATGGTCCCAAGACTCACAGGGATGCAGAACCAACACTTTTGTGTTAGCAAAGATGCTGCTCTCATCCCTGATACCCCTCTCTGTTTAGCTGCAATCTTACAGTGGCTGGGGGAGAATGAATTTTCTGTGTCATTCCTTGTTGTAACGTCAAATGTGTTGGTGTGAACTGGTCCTGGACTAAGATCCAGCAGCTTTATTAAAAAACAAAAACAAACCAAATGCAAAGCAAAACCACTTCTTGTAGCCGATGGACACATCTAGAACTGGTTTGTGTAAATCATCAGAACTACCTGCAATTCTGGATTCTCCTTGGCTGAGCACTGGCATCTCACATTGCACCCCTGCCTGCGTGTTCTGCAGTCCTGTGTGCCTCTGTACAAGGCAGGGAACTTGGATCGATCAGTGTGTCCCTTGCACTAAGGAGCTACACATGGGGGCAAGACAATTTGCATGTAGGACCTCATTTGTTTCACAAGAAGTATTACTATTCCCAATCCAACTGAATGCTAAAAGTAAGAAAAAATAAGGAAGATGGGATTTTGCGAACCATCCACGATGGCCCAAACTGATTAAAAAAGAAAAAGGAAAGAAATCCAAACTCACTTTTGAATCAACAAATGCCCAGTAAATCCTCCTGCAAGTCAAAAAAGAAATGTCCCCTCACCCCGTTGAGAGGGAGGCAAGACCAGAATTGGCCGCATTACCAGGTCTGATAGTGCATTTCTACTTATAAAGCATCTTGTGTTGTTTCTCAAAGACATTCTGATTTACAGCTGGCACTCTAGGCCTTTACAAAATTAGAAATCAGCCTTGGTTTTCTACCAGATCAGTTCATAAAATTAAGAGTGCCCTTTAGTTCAGAACAGATTTCAAGATGAGTCAATAAATTGCAGGGATGTTTGCTTATTTTAAGAAGCAGCTAGAATATGAAAAAAGCTGGTGGAGGGTTTTTTGTTTATTAGCATATGACATGTTTATATATGCAATTATTAAAGCATGTGATGTTTTACATGCATTAAAATGTGCATTTAGTTTTGTCTTGCAATGTAGAAAATGCTTTTAGAGCTCTCCTTTCCATTACTGAAGGATCAAAATGGAAACATAATGGATGGTGTGAGATAGCTAGCCTGCAAATTTTAGACCAATGTATGGGGATTAAGTTATGTGACTCATGGAAGTTAAAGGGAGAAGCATGACTAATTCTGTGCAGTGTTTGGAAAACTGAAGTAAAGCACACACCTCATAATACTTTGTCAGAATTAGTTTTAACTCCTTCATTCCAAGGAAAGCTGAAGCTCAAGTTCAAAGAACAAGCAAGTGTTGTGGGTACATCAGGAACTAGAACCTTAGAGAACGGCATGGTGTGGAATGTTGTGGTCCAAGTATTTGTATAGAGGTAGGAAGAATAGGAGCTTTCAGTCACAGAGACTGGACAAAATAAAGCCATTGCAATCACGCTAAAGCGAATTAAGTTTCAAGGCATTGCATCTGTATTGTTTGGCAACAAAGGAAAGTTTCATAATATTTTAAGACCCCCATCAGTGAGTATGGCAATCTCAATCATCCTTACCTATATTTTAGACTCCCATATTCACTTATAGGGGGCTCAAAATTATTAAAGTACTTTCACACAAGATAGGAACCTGTAATGTGGTATGTAGTTCAAAATTTACTTCAGGTTAAAGTCTTCAGGTTATGAAAGAGTTTCATTTCTGAGAAAATGGTAAATCATCTTTAAGTCAAATTTGTATGTAATTCTGATCACATATAGTTGGCTCTCCACAATCGTGGCAATTAGGGGTGTAGGACCCCCATGAAATTAGAAAAATTGAGAATCTCTATATGCCGCTCAAGTGCCTCCCTTCTGCAGCAAGGAAATGCCAGAGAGATCTCCCCTTTGCTTTGGAGGCCTCCCGCTCCCCTTTTGCTTCCTCTCTTTCTATAATGATAATGATTTTTTGTAGTATTTTTTAAATTGATAGGCTTTATGGTAGTTCATTTTTAAGTATAGTTTGTTGGTAACTCAAACATTCATAACTCAGGGACTGCCTGTATTCAAAGTCTAAAAATATGAGGGGGTTGCAACAGTGTGATGTTAGACCAGAAACCAGAGAACCACAGTCTTTCAATTTAACTAAAATGCAGTTTAAGGTGAAATAAGGAAGAATCAGAACGGATGCGTGCAGCAGCAATAAAGGCAATTGTGAATATACCAACACAAACTCAAGATAAAAGCATTGGAGATTTTGAGTTTCAGGGAAAACGTAATGTGTTCAAGCCACTCTGAAGCCATCAGCTGGGCACTGCTAAGCATCCAAATGTGGTATAATCTATCAGTTTGTATCACACTCCCCTGGCAAAATCCAAATAATCTAGGCTTAGCCCTTTAATATATTTGCTGTGAGTGTCACAGAATGAGCAGTACCTGCCTGCATACATATGCAAAGCACTTGAAACAATGTGCAGAATAATTCATATGTACTTAGCTCAATCATATGCATACAAGATATAAATACTGTGAAGCATCCTTTTCCACCACAGAGGTTAAAAGCATGCTTGGATAAAAGAATGTTCTCTGTATTGCCTTGTATGATTTGGCAGTACCAGTGGTAACTTGCCTTCTTATACATTCTCCTCAACTCAACCCAAGAATTTCCAAGGGAAATCTGGGGCCACAAATTGATGCAACTCGCCTGTGTTTTAGGCCATCAGGTCTTAAAAGCATTGAACAATCGGTTTGCTTTCAATATTTTCTGGATTACAAATCCCTGAGAGCCGGATTTCCTCTTCCTATGCTGAACTGGACCAAAAACAGTGGAGGAGCTTATTTTCACCAAGCTTGTAGCCATTTCCAGACTGTTCATAGCAGCTAAACATTAGTACTAAGCACAAAAATGCTATTTAAAGCCTCAAGTGGAAAGAGTGCTGTTAAACTGGAAAGTTTGCATACTTCTACACAATGAAGTATTTTACTGTTTTATGCCTTCCAGGTAAATCAATGCAGTTAAAAAAGGCAACATTATAACTGGAATAATTACAGCTGGAAGATTGCAGAGGTAATTAATTGTATTAAGGACTCAGATCTCCCATGAAGAAAAATCTGCTTAAATCCATGCATGTTCCAAAATAGTAAAAGGTTTGACTAGACAATGTAATAAAGATAGTGACTGACTGGTGTTTTTCAAAACATCCCTGAACCAGAAGACATCAGAGAAGGAAGCTGAAAGGCAAGTACTAGCGATATTTACAGGCACTCAACCTTTTATACAAGGGGTGATGGTGGTTTAAAGAAGAAACAGAAGATACTTCTCTTTCTGCTACTGCATGGTGCAGATGGTTGGTGGAGCAAGTTCCAAGAAAGATTTGTGGGGAGGTGGACATCATACCCAGGCACCCCTCAACTTGGGTAGCATCACTGTTTCCATATATCGATTTAACATCTCCATCACACAGCACATGACAAAGGCTTTTTCTCCCCAAGATAAACCCTTAAAAGCACAAAGATGTTGTCTGTTGTAAATTACCCAGAGAGTTTTGGCTATGGGGTGGTACAGAAATGAAACAAACATTGCCTCTTGATCTATTATATTTGATAGATCTCCAAGAAGAGATCTAGTTGGATTCTCCAAGAATTCAAGCTACTGTGTGTTTAACCTTTTTGAGTAATATCCATGTGGCTCCAGCAGAGGTCACTACTACACACACACATGCAGACATAAAAAAAACATTAGACAGTCTTTAACTCATAAACATGAATGCAAATTTTGAAACACAAGCGAAAATGTGTGGGGAGCCACCACTCCACCCTGTCAAGCTATTCCAGATAATTGGATGCCCAATTCTTGCAAGCATTCAAAAATTAATAGGCTTAAAATCACCAGTGAGAGATAATCAGTGTGACAATCAAAGTAATACTGAAATTAGCATCCAGATTTGCTTTGTTCCAGTCAGGTTCTCCTACAACATACATGGCCAATTTAAGCTGCTGTCATTGGATGGGGTAAGATCATCCCTTGTGTCTAAACAAGTTCAGGTTTCATGTTGCAATGTGCTTGTTTAAAAGTATGTGATGGTGAAGAATGCAGAAAACTGCATGTTCCGACAAGCATCACCATGGGTGAAATATGAAGTGACAAAATGGTTCAGGAGTTCTTTGCTAAGTATCTTATTACTCCAATTCCGTGGAGGAGATCTGAGCATGGATGCAGACTCCCAGGCTGATATTCCATGGTGGGTGAGCCACCAAGCGCAGGGGAGCAATAGTGTTTATCTGGCTAACCATCCACATTCTACGACCAAGGCTTTGTGCTCAGTTCAAGTTGCTTGATTGGAATTGCATGCATAGCATTTCATAGGTGTCTAGAGCTACCAGATTTGACAACACCCATCGGCCATCTCTTAAGAGGAGAGAGCTTAGAGTTGTGGTCCTGAATGGAGATTTACTCTTCCTTTCCCTAACAAATAATTATTTCTGACTTGAGAATACACAGCAGATTCTGCACACAAGAATCTTCAGGTCAGAATTTGAAAGTCTGGATTAGTAGGTCCTACCCACTCTCAGCTTCAGTTCAGTGTTTGAAAATATGGGATGACCTCTGTAATAGCGCTGTTGGAAGAAAAATGCAATTCCATCAACATTTACTCAGAAGTAAGCACCATTGCTTACTCCCAGGCAGGTGGTATAAGATTGAAGTTTGAGATGAGGGTTCTTATTTTGAATACAGGGTTTTTATAAGAATTTATTACAATTGTTTCTCTTGTTTTGGCAAAGTTGTACCCAAAGTTGTCCATCTACCAGCAGAACAGAAATCCCTGGCAGAACTCAGCTCTCCTCCCTTTACAGACCCCAGTCCCCAAGACCTAAAAATCTGTTCTTGAGGAATGCCTTGGAGCCATGTGAGGAGAGGAAACAAGGGACTCCACACTGCACACCTGCTCACTTAACACTGCATCAAACCTAAAAATTGCATGCTAGTAATAATTGTTGCGGGGGAACATGGGAAGTAGGGTCTCTGTTGCACTTACGTCTTTTGTGAGCAGCTGGTTAGCCACTTTGTGATCAGAACGCTGGCCTGATGTACCCTGGTCTGATCTAGCACGATTCTTCATACGTTCTTATGTTAGGGTTAGTGTTGGGAACTCAGAAATAAGCATGCTAAAATGTTACATTTTCCAGAAAATTACATCCCACAAATGTAAAAGTTATACAGCTTGATTTGCAACCAAAAAGTAAGACAAAAAGTAACTGCAACTGTTACAATAACTTGTCAAAATATAGTAATATACAGAGAGTCTGTGTGGTCTATTGGTTAACAGTGCTGGCCTGGAATTTGAGAGACCCAGGTTCCAGTCCATCTTCAGCCATAAAGCTCAGTGGGTGACTTTTAGCCAGTCACTGCATCCCAGCCTAACTTAACTCACATAGTTGTTGTGAGCATAACATGGAGAGCAGCAGAACCTTATAAACTGCTATGGATTCCTTGCAAACGGAAGAAAGTAGAGATATGTGATAATACTCTGAAAAATACTTACCGACCACATAATAATTAGCTTTCTAGCAACACATGGGTTAACGCTCCAGTAAGTGAATGGAAGGAATGTAATATAGAAAACTTCTTGACCCATTGCAGCTGAAATCCTGAACAGGTAGTAGTAGAAATAATTCTTTACAATGTACTCCTGCGAACAGTCCTGAAAGGGAATTTTTGTACACATTAGCAAACATTTAAGGAGAACTCAAATGCTACATTCATTGTTTCAACAGTGTTTAGAACTCCATAAACTAATTTGTTATTCAAACAATTTCTCTTTCCAGATAAAGTTTGATTTCTAACACTAGAGCTTTAATTGACAAAAGAGGAAATTGACAAGCCATTTCCTGCCTAGCCTAGTAAAATGCCTATAAGATATCAAGCACTCCAGCAATGCAGGCATTCCATTGCTCTGTAATATATACTGATTTATAATTTCCTCTCTGCTGTTAGCTAACACTGCTGGATCAAGGGGCACAGGTCTGTGACTCCACAGCTTGGAGAGCCCCAAACAGTGCCAGTCACTGCAACGTCTTTTGTGCTGTTTACTAAGCCTTTAGAGAGGCAAGAGGCATTGTGCACTGAAGCACCACACAGTGCATCATCTTCATGGTCAGAAGAAAGCCTCCCACCACCTGAGGCAGGAGAAGAGGCAGCTGCCGCCACCTCCTCTTTTCCTACCCCCGAGTGAGGCATTAACAGGGAGCTGCCCCAGAGAGCTGCCTATATCTCTGGAGCATACTAGAAGTTCATGGCACTTAGAAAAGAAAGGGGACCTGCTCACATGCCCTTTCAAATGCCTGCTAGAAGCCATGGTGACACCACACATCTAGATGGGTTTAAACGGAGACTGGATAGATTCAGGAGGAAGGAGGCTATCAGTGACTACTAGCCTTTAGCAGAAGTGGCATGTCGCAATGTACCAGTTGTGAGGAGTACCAGTTGTGAGGCAAGACTTCCCCTTGGGCAGGAGGAAGTCTTGCCATCCTGCCTGTGGGCAGCTGGTTGGCCACTATGGGTATGGAGTGCTGGACTAGATGGACCTTTGAAGTGCTCTGGCATGGCTGTTCTTCTGTGTGTGTGTGAAGGTGGCACATTAGTGGAAGCCATGACTTTCACAAAATGTGCCAGTCCCACTGGTTCTATTAGTATTAGGCCAGAACCAAAGCCGATAGGAACCATCCCTTTAAGATCTATCTTTACTGAATCTTAAGAGTTACTTTCCAAAAATGATAGTGTCCATAAGACCTCTCCCTCTGGACAACACATATTCAACCAATGTCTATTTATCAGAAGGGATGTTTTTTTGTTCACAAAGTGTCAATTTTGCCCATTATCAAGGGGATCCTTTTCTATGCATGCGGCAGCTTGTCTGCGAGCAGCAAGGGCAGACAAGGAGCTGTTCTGGTTTGTTTTCCTAAACAGCAGTCTCTCTTATCTTGCTTCTGATGGGAGTGGGGTCACTGATTGGAAGACAAAAGGGAATTCCTTTTACAAGCAAGCAGAGTATGATAGGCCGGCCGATAGTCACAAAATCGATGCAAACACTTCCTTCTCAACATAGAGCAGAACACCCGCCTCATGCCACTCCTGCCTCATCAGGGCAATTTAAGAGGATGGTGTAAGTTGCCACTACTGGAATCTGAGCTTCACCACAGACCAGGCAGATGACTTTTGAAAACAGGACACTGGACACATCTTAGTTATGTGAATGCTGTCAACATGCACCTTTCCCTTATGTAAATCGCAGCCATGGAGAAGTCTGAGAAATCTTGGCATGGGATGGGCAAGAAATTTATCTCTGTCTTCTGCTACCACCATCTCCTGACAAAAATCACATCCCCAAAAGCTGCCACTGTCAGCACTGGGAGCTTTGCATGAAATACAAATAGCAGGCTGGCCACTTAAGGGTAGGTTGGCCACTTACCCATGGGAGAGGGGGGGAGAAGATACTGTTTAACACAATGTTTTGAAATGCAAACCTACGGTGCAAATTTAGAAAGAACAACAGTAATTTAAATGGCAATAGAAGGCATCTTACCATGGGGAGAAGACTGGCTAGGTGACCTGTGTCCCTGCTCAGTCTGCGGTCGCTAGCTGAGGATGGCAAATCCGAAGTTCTTACTCTGCTTCACCTGCTTTTTAATGATTCTTTGATTTCAGACCGGAGAGCCAGTCAAACAGAGAAAGCTTCAGATAGGAGATTATTCTCTGAAAGATCTCCAAAATTAGAGAGCTCAACTAGGGCATCTGGACACCTAACTATGGGTGCTTCCAGAAAAAGTGCTCCTAGCATTGCCAACCAGAAAGCAGCGTGCAGCAATTTGAGCTATCCTTTCTCCCCGGTTCCTTAATCAATTATCCGTAATCAAGAAGCAGGATGGTTATAAGACATGAAAAGTTGAGGAGTGCAAGACAATGACACAATCCAGAACTCCCCTTTCCTAAAATAAGATTATGATTAGGAAAGGCATTATAGCGAAGGCAGTGTTGCCCTAAAAACCTAATCTGGAAGCATCCTTACACAGGGCAAAGTAGCATTCCATCTGCCCTTCCAATTGCTACCCGCAACATCACCCCAGTCCCAAGGCTTCCTCTGCAGCTGCTATTCACATGTGAAAAATGTGCCCATTAATCGTATCCAGCAGCCAGCGTTGTGTCTAGTACACCGATTTGATGGCAGCGCTGTCACGGAGAAGAGTCTGCAGCAGTTAGCACTAATCATCACATGGATTGCTGCTAATATGTGCCAAGTTGCCACAGCTTTGGCCAGGGGTGTAGCTGGGCACAACATGGTATTGTGAAAAGTCCTCTCCCTGCTGCCCTCCAAATGAACATCTCCCAGCACCAGCACCTGCTGCTAGCCCTCATACTGAAAACATTATGGATGGAAGGGGGAAATCACTCATTTCAAATCTGCAAATTTATTACAAAGGAAGCTCTCCTGCCCATGAGTTGCATTTACACTTCCCCGTCCACATGCAAACCACCGCATAGATCATGATCACAGATCCGAGTGGGGTGTGGAACCGCTTTCTGCCTGAGAGCCAAATAGAAGCTCGAGGGGGCTGCCTCCCTGTGAGTGTGAGTGTGAGGTCAAATGCAAAAGGTGCAGGGCCAAGAATACCAGAAATACATAGCTCCCCACTGCAGATTTAATGCATAACTCCCCTATACATTCCAGCTCTTTCTGCCAGTAATTACACTTTGGGAGAAGCACGTCAACCTTTTCAAATATGGGGAAACACACTGCACAAATGCTGGGAAACCAACACTTCCTGCCAGGGGCAGGAGAAGAACTTCCACATGGTCTCTGCAGGATCTCAAGGGGGGCAGATGTGGTCAATAAGCATGAAGTTCAGCACCCCTCTGCTGCAAGGACTGCAGGGGAGAGGGAGTAAAAACATGTCCAGCTATTTGTCATGCATGACAACCCATACAAAATATCCTCTTCTGAGTTCCCACAAGCCCAATTTCCCAGGTGCAGCTGCCCCATTCAGAATGACAAGGAGAGAGTTTCATCTGGCAAATCAGATCTTCATTCTCTCCAAACTTAGCTGTGTCTGAAAATGCTCCACATTTTTAGCAGAACTATTAAATTACTTATATGAAAGGTGCTTTATTGCTCTTATGCTTTTTTATGAAACTAAAGCTTGAAGTTCCAGAAGTGGAAGAAATCCTGGATTAAAATAGTTACTCAACCACAAACCAGACCAGTTCATGTCTATGAATACACTGTGTGAGTTTGAATTAAATAAATGTGCTTATTAGAGATAATTGTTATCCCTTCTTCCAAAATATAGTGATGACCTTTGGAGGCACCTCAACTGTTTATTCTATGCTTTCCATCCTAGCAACAATATTACTCATAATGTGTATCAGTACGCACTCCATTTACAAGACAGGTTACTTTGTACAAGAGAGGTGGAGTAAACAAACAAAACATGGGAGCGCTGTTTTAAAAGAACTTCAACAACAGCACATTCAGCAGAACTGAAGCATAAGCCAGACTAGAAAAGGAGCCTTAACACCAACCAATTATGCATTTTCTCAATGACAAAATGCTGAATGGCAGTTTTTGTAAGCTCTGTCACTCGGAGTCAAGAAGCTGCAGAGGTTGCTCATTGGGCCTGTAGAGGCTTGGGCTCATCTGATCCACCCTGGATACTGGAGGCTTCCTGAGGAATTGGAAAAGAATCCCAAGACTCTCCTGCATAAAGGAATCCCTCCCAATGGAGGGTAAAGTGGCATGTGCGGGAATCCCTTGTTATTTCCAGTCTCAGAGTAGAGGTAACAAGAGGATTCAAGGAGCTGTGCCTGCTCTCCAGCAGAAGCTGCAAAGGAGGGCAAGGCAGCTCCTGGTGCAGCTGCCAGGAGACAATTACGGTCAGAGGGTGGTACACATGTTGCTTTTATTCAGTCTTACGAAACTAAGTTTTGGCTCCTCAAGTGTCTTGTGCATCGCTTATTACAGGACCAGGAAATCACAGTGATGTCCCAGCCAGCTTTCTGGAGGCAGTATGAGGTCCCTGTCCTTTCCGTGTTTTCCTACTGTGGAAAAAAAATGCTAAGGAAAAACTGGTGGAAAAGGCAAACAATAGAGGTCTTAGAAATATATATATTTGCTGAGGAGTATACAAATCTACAAAATAAAATAAGAAATTATGGGGAGTGCTAAGAGTCTTCTGTATGGATGCACCTGAAGACTTATTCTAACCTTCCATCTTAGAAGCTCCCAGATCTGATCCACTTAACTTCACAAAGGGATGAAGGGCCTGCTCTTGCAAGGGATCATGTTCAGGGTTGACAATATTAAAAACAAATGGCCTCTTTAGGATGTTTTTCAGATACCAAGTTCTTAGAAGCCTCTTATGTCAAACAACTGTGTTCTTTGAACACAAAGAAGCAAGACATGGCAGTCTGTGTGCTTGTTGTGGTCCAATTTGCTCTCCACTGTTTTTGAACACAGGCTTGCTTCAGGGCTAGCCACAACTCGTGGTGCCTGTTTGTCTGCGCAACATATGTCAGTGGGCACCAGTTGGAGAAACTGTATGATGCACAGGCTGGAATGCAGCTTCTGTATCTCCAGAAATACAGGCATCAAAACACCAAAAGCTGGCAACGAGGCGCCAGGCTCAAACATGATTAGGATAGTTTTGAATGGAGAAATGATTAATGCCATAGCAGGAAGGAAGGAAGATAGAGATTCCATTCAATATAATGGTATTATTGTTTCCATCAAGTTTTATTTACCTACGATAATAAACTGCTCTTTTCTTTGTAGAATGGCAGGGTGAAAAACATGCAAATAAGCAAACAAACATATATAATATCAAGCTCCTTCAAGGAACGTATTACAAGAATTCAGTACAGATCAAATAAATGTTCAGGAAGCCCAGAAGAGTAGCTAAAGCCAGAATGGGCAACCCACAGACCACATATGGCCTTTAGAAGTCACTTATGTGGCCTGTCATGAGTGTCCCGACCATAATCCCCCTGCTGCTGATGCTTCCCTTTCATGCCCGATTTCTTCAGGGGCACTATACATATGGCTCTTCCTGTGTGACTTTTTTCCCTGCAGAACCAGACTTCCAAAAAGCTGGCAACCTGTGAGCTGCCAGGACTGCAATTCCACTGGGAAGTTCAGCTCGGGTGCATAGCTCTTCCCATGCCCCCTACCTCGCAGCACGATCAGTGATGGACCAATTCATGTTCAAGGTAAAGGTAAGCAGAAGTCAGGTTTAGTGGATGGTGAGAGAAGGTAACCAAACTAATCAAGGAACTCATGGGGGGAAATGGTGTGAGTAAAGAGGAAAACATAAAGGTTAACTTTCACATATAAAGCTAATATGAAGATAATGCCCACTTTCTCTAGCATTGCATCTGATACACATCTATAATTTGTTGGGCTAGGAAAAATGACCCTCATAGGAGGAGATGGGTATAGACAGGGATTGTAAAGTATATGGGAACAGAGTAATGAACAGGAACTGGAAGGAGTGAAGCAAACCAGAGTGGTATACTGGCTACGGCCCTGGGAGAAGTGGATTGAATCGATCTCAGCTGCAAAGCCTCCTTGAACCAGTTCGCTCTCTATAGGGCTTCTGAAGAAGATCAACTGAGGGAACCATATGTATGCACGTACACTCAATGTTCATTAGAGGTACGGCATGATAACAACGTCATTTATCAATAGAAGCAAAGTGTGCAGGTAGGAAACTCACCAGCAGGTGTGGCTAAAGGGGTGGAACTACTTACAAAATGATGGAAGGGCAGGTGGAGCAGATGAGGCCAGGGGCTAATAAGGGGCTGTGGGAAAGTCCCACTAAACAAAGAGACAGATGAGGTTGTATGCCAGCCTTCCTCAATCTGGTGCCCTTGAAAGGTGTTGGACTATAGCTCCCATCACCTTCAGCCAGCCAAAGAGAAGCTGAAGTTCCTCATAACTGGAGGGTACCAGGTACAAGCTGTTAGAATAAGGACCATGGTGAAAGGCAGAGCAGATGCATCTTTCATTCATTTTAATGAATTTTTGAACACTCTCCAAGCATAGCACTTCACATCATTAACACTGACTAAGTCTGTTGTGCTTTCCTTCCAAGACCTGGTAAAGGTATAATAATTTCTGATGCAAGAAAGAGGAAGAAACCATGTAGAGACATTACACAAAATTGGCAGCAACAAAACCTTGGAAGAAGCTTCATCACTCAAGACACAATTTCATTTACTTTCCTTTCTATTCCACCTAATAGCTGAAGCTTTCTGAGCAGTTTACTACAAGGGTTGTATCCAAGCAATCAGTGATTGCAACTTGCAATATTTAGTTCCAGAACTAAAATCTTAGTTGATCCTACAACCAACCAATTGATGTCCTTCCAAAGGCATCACAGGGCTGCCCCTTATTTTAACTTCACAACAAGATGATCCTTTGGAAACTGATGGAAATGCAGGACTGCAGGCATTCTTAGGGTTTGTCTGCGCAGTTAATTTATTGTGCACCCACAGACATTCTAGGGACCCTTTCATGACAAGATTCTCATCCAGGGCCCCTCCCATGTTTGCCAGACATTTTTGTGGGTTTTTTCTTTTAGAAGGGGAAAGTCTGGTATAAACTTTAAAAGCTGGAACAAAAACCTCATGAAAAATCTCAAATCCACTTTACTGCAGCTATACTATAGCATCATCTTGTGGTTCCTTAATAGACAGGGAAGTGCAAACCCCAGGGAAAAAACCCATGTAAAGGATGCATTTTTCCTTCCGCCATGAAAATGAAAGAAGCTGTCTCAGCAAAGCAGCAAATTAAACTCTTCATGTAGAGTATCCCCAAAAGGCACAGGCCTCCAGCATGGAATGCAAAACACACAGAGCAATGAGCTGTTCAGCAGTGGATATTCCTATGCTTGCTGCCCTTCTATTTCCTTCTAAAGGCATGGTAAAATGGATGTAAATCAGCATGATCTGTGAGCCTCCCAAACCAGTTTAAGAATGGGTGGCACTGCTATGCTTATGGGTAGCAGCATATTTTGCTTTATGCAAAATATAGATGGATATACGTTTCTTCTGTATCAATTGTAATTGACCTATTTACATTTCATGTGAACACCCAAGTTTTGTTTTTGTTTAGATCTAATAAACTTCACAATAAAACAAAATTAAAAATGATTGGCTTAATGAAATGAGGAAACCTGATGTCTTTGATATTACATAACAGGCAATTAATAATTTACAGCCTGAACCAGTTACAAACGGAACAAGCCTGAAGTTGCCTCCAAAGGAAGCAGCCCAATCATTGCAATAACAACCAATATAAAAGAGTTAAACACAAAGTAACCAAAAGAAGGCATGAAACTGGAACACACAGCATTTGCATGTCCCACAATGGTAAACTGGACTAGTCTCAAAGACCACCCAGTAGAAAACATAGGTTAGTAATTATAAATAGTATAATTAAGCTGCAGGATTCCATGACTAGCAGTTGTGATTCTTTTAGCTGCACTCAAGTAGAACATTCAGACATGAAAGCCATTAGCAAATATATCTATGGAAACTTATCCCCTTGAATCTTCCTCCAGTTCTTGCAAGATTTTTCTGAAGTTAGTCAAACATGATGTCACAGGAGAACAAGTGCATTATATATCTTTTAAACTCCAAACATTGGGATGATACTTTCTCAGTAGCAACCTAAATGTTACAAAACTTTGTAAGACTCCTTTTCAGGCTGGATGTTAAATTAACTAAACAACCTGGCAAGAGGGGAATTTTAGAACATGGTATTAAATATCAGAAATGGAATCATTTTAGAAATGTTGAAAATGTGATTTCAGAATTAAAATAGGAACTTCTTTTGCATAATTCAAGAGGTGCATACATATAGGATGCAATTCCGGAATATGTGTAGGATGAGGCCTGCATTACAACATTGTTTCTGCTTGTCAAAATGGTGCGTGCATCCTGCTTGCCTGAACACGCTCACTGGCTGCAGAGTGCCAACCGACCGTGGGGAGTAGGAAATAAAACCCAAACAAATCATGTGGAACAAAACATTCTGAACAGGCACACCAGACGCTAAGCAGGTTTGCATGAAACAGCAAGCACAGGGGAAAGGTTGCCATGACTGGCAGTAACTTGTCACCTTCTTCCTGACAGATGATCAGAAACTCTGGCTGGTTCCATCTTTTTCCACCCCACCCTGCCACACCTTCCTCACCATGGATCTTAGCAGCCACCTTAGCAAAATCCTCCTCACTCTGACCTGGACACTGCACCCCGTAGCTTTGGGACTCCTGGGCAGGTGGATACTGCTGCAAGCTGTCCTGACCTCCAGCTGTCTTCACTGTCTCTGCTGCTCCCATTCATGCAGAGGGCGGTCGGTCACGGTGCCTTGGAATCCAGCATCCTCCTGAGCAAACAGGCAGGCCTGCTGCAGGGCCATTTGGTCTGCTTCATCCAGGTGTCACAAAGATAAGGTGTGTCTTCACTTTCTCCCTTACTTACCTCTTCAGTGTTGATTTGCTAATTTGGGCATCTGCTTGAGACGTGCCTGGGGCGGGGCAGGGAGGGTATAGGGCCAAGTGGGGAAATGTTGTGGTTCCCCATCTGTGTTGTATTGGGTAGAAGGTGATATGGTGCTGGAAGGAGAACTGGCCTGGTACAGGGAATGCTCCTGAGCTCATGACTGGTAGTATTCCATTCCTCCTTCCACCTACAGGTTTGATGGTTGCCATGTCAGGCTGTCCTTGTTTTTGCAGATTCTACTTCAAAATACCAGACCGGTACAGAGTAAGTTTTCCCTTATACGTGATTTAATGGTGGATGAAGCAGCCAATCTGGCTTGTGTAACTGAGACCTGGGTGGATGAACAGGGACAAGTTAGTCTCTGCCACTGGTGCCCACTGGGGGAGCATGACCTTCTTGATATTCCTGTATCTCACTGTGGCTTCTGATACCATCAATCATGGTATCCCTCTGGAATGACTCTCTCAGTTAGAAACGGGGAGTACTGCGTTGCAGTGGTTCTCCCCTTAC